ATCTATCTATCTATCTATCTATACTTTGTCTTTACAATTTGAATCTGTTCAGGCATCATTGTTGATTAGAGTTATCAATGCTGTATGACTACAACAAGAGATGCTGATAAGTTCAAATATGTTGACTATTAATAAAACCTAAAAAGAAAAAAAAAGGATGACTACTACTTTGCTGTGAGCGGCTACTCACACGCTGCATTTCAGGTCCTGGTGGCCTGGCAGGTTTAATCGCCCACTCCCATCATCAAGGTTTAAATCAGCTTCTTGACCTTTACGAGATGTCTTTCTCTTTATTTGTTGCTGCATCCCAATGTCACACTCATTTTTTTATATAAAAAAATAAATTCATAAATTAGTCCATAAATGTCAGTCAGTTTCTAAATTAATCAGAAAAGAAAAGGTCATTTTCGTTGAATATTTTAGCCTCAAAGGCTGAATGAATGGTCTCATGGTAAATTATAAGGAAGCAATTAAATTGGTTTGTTTTTGTTTTTTTGTATGTGGCTATTTTTACATTACATTACATACATTACTGGGAGGCACAAGTTCTCTCTATGATCTCCGCTAATGTCTTTCCTCCTCGGTTTTGTGTTAAAACGTGCCTGAATCCTGAATTCTCCAGTTTACTGAGTGTGTTTCTGACATGTCAAATCTCTTTTGTATGAGATTTACTTTTGTGTGAGTAAATCTCACACAAAATGATATTTTGGATGTAAAAATAGGCCAGGAAATCTTTCTGTGAAGGTCTGTGAGTTTTCTGGACTTTTTGTGCGAAACACCCACGCCTAACTGAAGGGTTTCGTCTGGACTCTTTGAGAAGATTAAGCGCAAGAGGGGCCTCAGGCCAGGAGAAGCTCGGTGGCTGAGTTTTGGATCATGTTTATACAGTCTGAACAGGTGAAGATAAATATCAGACAGTGGCAGGCAGCACCTGAATTATTAACCAGCTGTCTAAGCAGAGGAGTTGTCATAGCAACCCTGTAACCCCTTTTTGGATAAGGCAGAAGTGTGCTGGATCATTGGACTTATCATTGCACCTGGAAAGCACTTCTGACCAAAGACAATGGATTTATCCAGCACACTCTTATTCAAACTGCAGGTAAATACGCTCTCACAACACAGCATGCATGTGCCCACCCAGAGGAAGCACATTATTCTCATTATTTTTTACTTCCTTCTGACTGTGTTGGTCAAATGGACCTCTGTGAACCTGACCAGCAATGTCCAGTCAAATGTGCCATCGAGCCAAATGTTAGATAATTTGATATATTCAAAGTATATGAAGAGAGTTACACATAAAAAAGAGCGGGAGGTTGTATTTATAGACTAACCTTTACTTCTATCTTCAGAGACTGGCTGAAAGAAATGCATATTCAATTGTCCTCAAGATTTAAAGGTTGTAGTGCATTGTGAGTCTTAAGATGTCTATTTTCCATTCAGTCTTGATGTCGCTTCACGTAGCAGCTTCACACAATCAGTCTGGCATATGGTGAACGTGAGGCTAAACGGGAAAACAATGAGGGGGGCTTTCAGGGGATGGAAAAGGCATAATAAACGTCTCATCTATGATGTTTCAATAGTCCAGTTTGATAGGTGTAAAATGATTGGGGTTCTTTAGGGTTACTGTTTAAAATCATAGGATCACTTTAAAATTATGTTCAGAATATAACCTTAATATATATATGTCTATGACTGGAAATAAAATTGAAAATCAGACTGCATCTTAAGGTCTCTCGGTTGTCTGATAAAAAATAAAAATTCCAGTCAATTTTGTTTAGGGCTATTGAACAAAAAAAAATTAAGAAATGAAGATTAAGTTTTTGCACAAGTGAGAGTTTTTGTTTGCTTTAAATGCTGGTGTCCATAACCGAGATACCAAATGTGAAAGGGCTCCAGGTGTGTGTGGTGTAAGTTACATGACAAGTGTCTGCAACATGGCACCAGAATGCATGTAATCAGACAGAAAATAGAAACATCCTTCTCAAACTTGCGTGTTTTTCAATAAACATGAGGACGAGCCGCCTCCGCCTGAACAGTGACTCTGCACTGGGCCTGTCTATTCTCTGGCTATTTATAGTCCAGCGGTGTCATGGTTAGCGCCCCCTTTTCTTTCACACCCTTCTTCCCCCTCCAGTCCCTCTGTCTGTATCTGTGTTCTCCCGAGCTGTCACATTCCTTTTCATTCTCCCCTTGTCTAAATTTAACGCCCTAACCTTTCTGCCAAAGTCCAGGGATCATTTTTGCCGGCAGTGTGCGGATGTAGCTCAGACTTGGAGATCGTTGAAACATTCTGTGCTCTGTGAAGCAGCTGCTTTGAGAGTTTGCTTGTTAATCCTGGACAGAAGCCAACGCCAACAGCCAGTCTCAGACACAGAGGATGGGCTGCAGTCCATTTTGGCCTTCTGGCAATCTGGTGACTTCCCAAAACAAAGGGAAACTGCACGGCTGCTCACATTTTTCCCGAAAATCCTATGTAGACTGACCTTTCGGATTCCTACTGCAAAACAACCCGTCATCGTTTCCCATAGTCTTTTCTATCGTTTAGCTCCATTTTACCATGCAACTCCATAAATCACACGATGTTTGACTATGTTTCTGCTGGATAAACACAGCTAAACTGTTGTTTGCTGCATGATCTCGGAGCAAAATGCAATTGTATCCAAATTACATTTCATGAGCTGAAGTGTTCATAGCAGAGAATGGCAACAGAGACGTTTTGCACGTGCGTGGGGATGCTGACCTACTCAAAGCATAACATTGATCTGGTTCTGTAGTCTCACTATGTGTATTTCTTATTCATGGGCTTTCAGTCTACATTACTCAGAGACATCCTTCTATTTCAGATCAATCCAATTTTGTGGTTTGCTCCGAGAAAAGGATCTCGGAAAACCGTTATTAGATGTCCATAATCTAATCGTTCATTAAACTCAGTCTGTGATGGACTTCATGGACTTGCACTACTTTACTTCCAGCTGCATGTTTATCTTAATGTGATAGTGATGCTTTGGACTCTGGTGCATTGTGAGAAATCCAGCACTTAACATGTAAAGCATTGATTGCATGGCACTCCATCCTACAGCCAAGTTGTGTAACAAGAGCTTGCCGGAACTATTTTTGCATCTTTTTTCTTTATGATCAAGACCTTAAATCCACTACTCCAAAAAACATTAGTCTTCACACCAGCACTCCTGCCGAGTGGTCCAACTCGCTCATCGTGGCAAAAAAATGACGCCGCTGCCCTTTGCCTGCAGCGAAGGTTAGTTTTTCAACAGAGTTAACCCTCGTTATAGATTTATAGATTTGAATGAACACTCATAATGCTCTGAATGCTTGTTGGTGCTCAGGTGCAGCCACCAGGTGGCGGCATCTCTCTAAACTTAACAAAGTGAAACTTAGGACTGATTTTTCTGTTCACTAAACTAACACTGATTTGAGTCAAAACTACACCGTTTTCATTTTGGAGATCTTGTCCAGACCCTCACTCGTCCATCTTTGGTGCTGGTATGAGCCGCAATAAGAGCTTTGTCAAGTTGGTTTCATAGTGAGTTGATGCACAGGCTCGGGCCTGAAAGGCTTCATTCATCAGAACAACATGAATGATTCACTTTTTCATTTGGAGAGAAAGTCATTTAAAAATTATGCTTTGAGTTTTTTAGCAACCTCCGTCTGAAAGTAAACAACAATGTGATGTGACATTTGCAGGCCTGTGCAAAGCTTAACACTTTCTAGAGGAGATCCAATTTAAGCAGGAAAAACTTCAACCTGTAGGTCACTGGCCAGCAAAGACCAGACCTGGACTCCCCTGATATAATCCCTGTCCACATCACACAATTGTATTTAACACTGAATGTTCTATTTACACTCTGTGTTCAGGTTTCAATGCTCTCTCACATCCGTTCTGTCTCAGAACTGAGATATGTGTTTGTATTCAATGTCTTATACCTAAATGTGAACAGGCACCTGATATGGGGGTTGTAGCTTTCAGTGGGCACATCAGTTGTAATTGAAGAAGTCCATTTATTGAGTTTTAATGATAACACATAAAAAGGGGGATGCTGGAGGATGGAAAAATAGACGTTTTGCGTTTGAAGCCAGACTTCAAGCTCAAATTTAAGTGTTGCTTTAGTATGTTTAGGACGGTAGCTATAAGGTGTCCTTCTTTTAGGATCAGTACGGTACCCCACAGCCGCAGTCATTGACTTCTATTTATTCCTGAGCTCTGCTGCACCGCCGCTCCGCACCGAGTGCTGAGACACAACTAGCTTTTCCTCCTTGGGCTGCAAGGTATGTTGCTTAAATTGTCAATGGATGTTTCCAAAAGGCTTTGCATGGCTTAGTGGAAAACCATGACATGATTCTGTGCCTCACCTCAAGATTCTCCTCTCCTCAGAGTGCTGCGTAAAAGTAAACACGCTCATTTGCTGCAGGATCCAGCTGTGTAGAAAGCCAAAGACACCTTGTCGTGCGTCATCTTCCTCTGGCGGTGATATTTGCTTTGGATTTTTAACATTTTCTGCATTTCAACATCATTTTTACAACGCACTGCCTGACTTTTTGCCCACAGCTGTTTTTTCCTGTTTGGATCACCAGCTGAAATAAGCGGAAAGACTGTGAGACAAGCGGAGGGGTTTGATTCCAGCTAACAGACCTTTTTATACGGAATTATTTGTCGGATTGAATCTACATAAATTTGGGTTCATGCCGGATTTCGAGCATTTCAGATTTTCCTACTCGAGCATGAATCCTGTCCTGGGTGAGAACGGCTTGCTGGCTCCCCAGCAGCATCACCAGATGACGGGCCAGACCGAGTCTGCCATCCCGGAGCCGGGATACTTCCTGGGCGACCACGGAGGATTCGGACCCGACGGGTTGTCTGGGCTTGACCTGGGGGCTCTTCCGCCGTCGGGCCTGGCCTACCTTCACCTGGGCAGCCCCCTGCACCGCGTCCCCCCCGCGGCCACGGCGCTGCGCAACGACTTGGGATCCAACATCAGCGTGCTGAAGACCCTGAACTTGCGGTTCCGCTGCTTTTTGGCCAAAGTGCACGAGCTGGAGCGCAGGAATAAGGTGTTGGAGAAGCAGCTGCAGCAAGCATTAGAAAATAACAGCGGGTGCGATGCACACCAGAAGCCCCAAACCAAAGAAATGGGAGTACAGACCGGATTTATCGGGCCCATCACCACTAGACCCAATATCATGCCGCTCCACAACGCCAACAACTCGGCCTACCTACCTGGTGGCCTTCTCTCTCCCACTCTGAACCCCCCTCCCCTCTTTGACAACAAATACTTCCAGGGAAGCAACCTCATCACCGATTCAAACTCCAACCTTACAGCTTCCTCTTTTTCCACTAGCCCGGCGCTGAGTCCAAGCGACCCATTCAAACCCATCACGAACATCAACGAGAAGCAGGCCTGTCACACCGGGACAAACACCACTCTACCCCCACCACCACGCTTCATGCCCGGGTCCATTTGGTCCTTCAACCACACCCGGCGCTTTGGCGCCGGGAGGGAGTCCTGCGTCGCAGGGCCCGGGGTCTCCTGGACGCACCCAGACGGTGTTGGAGTCCAGATCGACACCATCACACCGGAGATCAGGGCTTTGTACAACGTGCTGGCCAAAGTTAAGAGAGAAAGAGATGAATACAAGAGAAGGTAAGGACCCAACATATTCTCACATACACTGATTCATCTTTTCAGTCATTGTTAATCGTTTTTCTTTAAATCAAAAGGGCTCAAACAATGCGGGATGGCACAGAATCCCTTTAGCTCCTGACCTACAATGCATTGATTGGTGTCTCAGAAAACAAGAAACCTGATCTAAGCAGGGGTCAGCCAATGTGCTGATAGGGATTTGTCACCATATTTGTCACCATTCAAAGGTAGTTTCCACTTGCAGTTTCTATCCAGGAAGCTCCACCCTTTTACATCGCTGGCTGCTAGAGGTCAGTAAGGCCAGAGCTGCCATTCATACCTTTGTCCAAAGAAGGAGGACCATAATAACGGCTTAAAAACTAAGTAGAGAAAAAATGTGTTTTTTTCTAAAATATGTTGACGTTTCTGGATTTGTGTAGGAGTTCTGTTAAATGTAGTTTCCAGCCTGTTTCTTGGTTGTGCACATACACACATTCACTTAGTGCTCCTCATTGCTGTTTTGCTAAAAAGACAAAAAAACAAAAAACACTGACCTCTTTACTTCTTGCCTTTGCTGACACAGGATGTTTCTGCAAGACAAACCTTCAGCCACATCAATTTCTGTGGCTGCAGGGAGCCTGACTGAACAGCTCCGCTATATTTTTTTACCAGTGTGTTCGCTTTTTTGGCCAACACTTCTCACATTTGCTTCTACATTTAGTCATTTTGGACAGATGGTTGACTCGGACAGCTGCTCTACATGCAGGCCTCTACTATTATTGCTGCGGAAAAGCATTTGTTTTTCGCAGTGTAAAGAGAATCTCCCATCGTGTTATATTTTCATTGGCTATTTGGATCATATTGGTACCAATAGTAACTTTTCTTATCAGAATACTTAATTTACTAAATTAAAGGAACACAAAGCCAGATGTTTCTAACATCTTGTATTATTTGAAAAAAAAACACTTGCTCTTGGCTAAAGTGCTGAATCTTTTAGATGAAGGAAAAATATTGAAAACAATTTTTAAAAAGAATAAGTAAATACAATTTAAAAAGAGAAATTTGCATGCCCATTTTGAAAGCTCCTGGCTCTATAATTTAGGCCCCTTCACTGTGTGCCATCCTAGATTGGGGTCAGCCAGGAACACACAATTGTTGGATCTTAGTGACCCTCTCCGCGTGAAAGCTGGTGAGAGCTCAGTAAAAGGGAACAAGCTTTTATAAGCCTAAAATGCAACACTGCAATCAATACTAGAAGGTGCAGCGAGCCAGTGAAGGGAATCAAGTATCGGGAAGATGTGTGCATGCTTTTATGGTTCTGTTAAAAGATGGGTGGCATCATTTTGGACCAGCTGAAGCTGTGAGGGGGGTGGCCGGCTAACACCAGCATGCAATGCATTACAGGTATGGAAAGATCACTCCAAGAAAAACAACCTAACCACAGATAAAAACCTCAGTATGAAGAGACGGTTATTTTCTTTTATATTTGTCTTATTCAAAGATATGATATGATAAGACATGATATTGCCAAGCATGTCTAAATTGCACCAGGAAAGGTTTTCATGTAGTTGTAGATTTAAAAAATGGGTAAGGTGAATCAAATCAACCCTATTTGTTTTCTCTGTCGTCTGCATTGAAATTTAGCTTTTTTTAAGCCAGATCCTCTTTACTTTTCTACTTGTTTCTCAATTTTGTGTGACTCTCCATCTACTTTTTAGCCAAAATAAAGAAGCTGAGTAGGACTAATGATGTCTGAGCACCCGATCTCTGCATTAAAGTTGAGATTCTCTAAAGTCCCTGTTTGTGTGCAGCTTTGATGTTTATCCATTAAAGTGAAGATTTTCATGGGCCCCCGGTTTGCATCTTTTTCCAGCCCCCTCTTCCTGCCAAAGCCTCCCCGTTTCCTCCTCCCTGCTGAGTTTTGTTTGGTCACCTGCAATGCAGCACTGGCCTGTGACCACCAGCAGTGATGTCACCCAGTCGGCCTTCCTCCCCTCTGTTTTAGTCCTTCTTCCTGTATTTCTTGGCATTTTACCCTCTTCATTTCCATGTCCTCTTCGTCTCCTCCCAGACTTGCTCTTTTAATCGCTTTCTGCTTGCGTTTAAATTGTTGTCCGCTCTTCTCGCTGACTCCTCATCCATCTCCGAGCACACATCTTTTTCCACGGCGTCAGACGGGTGCTTAAATCACCGCCTTTCTCCAAAACGCTGCATAAACCCTTTATGGATTCCTGTCTCTGGTGCCTAGTTAAGGTTTGGATGGCGTCATTGCAGTAAAATGTGGATCAGAAATCATGTGCAGTCTGTTTCTGCTGATCTGAACCAGTCACCGTCAGTGAGTTGTTGATGTCCGTGACGAACTGCCCTGACGTGTGGATCGTGATTAGATGCTGGGAAGGTGGTCCAATATGTGACACAGCTGTCTCTCTTCAAACATGGTTTCTTTTTTTCTTTTTTTTTACATAATTGATTTCTTAACGGGGCAGAGTACTAAATCATCTACTCCTTCCAAGGTCAAGTTACTGCAAACTCTGGAGGTTTGAGAAGGTTTTGCTCCCATGGTCAATTTAGATGAGTTACATACCTTAAATACAAAGGAATGAGTGAAATGCACCTGGATTATCATCAATTGATTTTTATTTGTGCATTATTTTGCCCCTTTCTAACATATATGCCAGCTTACATGCTAGGTTGTTCTTTAATGGAACCTTTAAACCTTGCTGCCCTGATTTATTTATTTCTTTTGACAAATGTGTTATCTCATGTAGATATTTTCTCTTTTTTGTAATATTGCCTGTACTCAAATTTAAAATGTTTTTTTAGTCGATATTGTGAGATATGTGTTTATAGATTAAGACAAATTGATCTTCAAGGTATTTTTATTCTCAATTATTTCCCTTCTTTGTCAGGAGTATATTATTTCACACTTTAAGGTGTTTACAACATGTGAAGAGATCAGGGATTTGATGAGTCAGCAGCGACTGGCTGATCGTTTTTTTTTTTTGCGTCATCAAGCATCATCGCAGACAAACCAGCTGCAGCAGCTCACTGCAGAGCCACGTGTTGAGACTTTAAACAGATCTGTGACAAGGACACCAGCTCTCAACACCTCCTCACTTCGGATATTATAACCGAGGCTCTCGTCCACGGTTGCGAATCCCTTCACCTGGGCGACGATAGGGAGATGGTGGAAAGGGGGGAAAAAACTCTGGCACATACAGAATCCTGGAAAAGAGGTTGAGCAAAAGAGAAACAAAGGTTAATGATACTGACGTCCCATGTACATGGAGATTAAAGAGAGCAGAGGGAGGTGAGGTGCATCATGGGAGCTGACACAGCAATCTAGATCTAAAGCAGAATTTCTGTCGGACGCTTCAGGGTCACTGAGACACCCCTAACTATAAGCTTTAGGAAAAAAGGAAAATTTGAAGTCTTATCTTAAAGTATGGGGGGGAGGTTTGTTCCTGAATCCAACCCAAACTGAGAGAGGGGCCTGATAACTGAAGCCTCTCGTCCTGACTTTGCAAACTATAAAGTAAAAAAAAGACCTAGAGTCTGAGAGCAGAGATCTCTCCCATGGAAGAATGTGCAATCATAAGCTCTGTGGGCGATGATGGAGCTGCTCATTCAGAGCTTTATAGATGAGGAGCAGAGTGTAAAACTGTGCGTTTAAAAGGGAGCCGATGAAGAGAAGCTGAAACTAATCTGAGCTCATGCTCAGAGCAGCCTGGGTGTATTTGGTTTATGCTCCCTTACTTAAGATTATCCCCACATGTCAAAATGCCGTCGCTTTGTAGCCGTCGTCACCCCTCGTAAAAAAAAAAAAAAAGGCTGTTCAAGAGACATACAAAATCTAAGAGTGGCTGGAGTTCATATTTTACAACACGTGACGTGGAGCCCCCCTAAAAAGAGGAGAGGTTGAGCGTAAAACACTGGAGGGTGGTGGTCCTGCAGCGCAGCCTGCCGCTGCCTTTTTGTTTATTGATGCGTCCTCTCCGTAGTGACTGCTGAGTGCTGGAGCACGCCGTTCGTTCCCCGCGTGCTCTCAGTGCACGCAGCACAACCCTTCTTATGTAATGCTCACCAGAAATGTTGGAGTTTGTTCAGGTGGAGGGGGCGCAGGCATGCAGGTAGTGATGGTGAGTTTTAAAGCTGCAGAGAAACAGGGACTATGTTCAAGACTGAAGGATTCTTGTGAGATTACCGAGTGTGACATCCACTTTAAATGTCCCAAAGGCCACACAATGATAGAAAATACCTCAGTCATTTACTGCTTTGCATTTAGGGGGGAGTGTGTTTTAGACCAGCTGTGGACAAGCCTGTTGATCGGTCCAGACATTTCCATACCTTGAATGTTTTGAGTGAAAGGCACAAGTTGGTGGAAAGTGTCATAAGGGAAAGCCGACCTGTGTCCATCATCTGATGTGAACCAGCTCTGCTTTTGTTTATAGATGGGAGGAGGAGTACACAGCCAGGATGGACCTGCAGGAGAAGGTGGCTGAACTTGAAGAGGTATGTTTGCCATGTTCAGTCTGGCTTTAAGAAAATCTGTTTTTAGTTTAAGATGTTAAAGTGTAGTTGTATGTCATCGTGACAGTTCAACTGTTTAGCTTGAAATGTAAAGCATTTCAAAAAGTTATCGGGCACATCTGTTCATCTTTTCATCGTCGAAGATTCTCTTCTGCTGACATCACACTTCCAGCAAATGACCTAAAACTGTGTGTTCTGCAGGACTTGCAGGAAAGCGAAGTGTGTCAGGATGAGCTGGCTCTCAGAGTAAAGCAGCTCAAAGCGGAGCTTGTTCTCTTCAAAGGACTCGTCAGCAATGCAAGTCTGCTCTGTTGCTTTGATTTATTCAAACCCTATATCCTGGTCACATTTATTTTATTTTTTTAAATGACGGTGTTCTGTTTTGGACTCAGGACCTTTCCGATCTGGACAGTAAGATCCAGGAAAAGGCCATGAAGGTGGACATGGATATCTGCCGGCGCATTGACATCACCGCTCGCCTCTGTGACGTCGCCCAGCAGAGGAACTGCGATAATGTGATCCAGTTCTTCCAGGTATGTCTGCGGCACCCCAAAAAATCCTCAGGGTCCAGCTTTAAATGCCTTAAATGTTCAAGCGGAAGCAGAGGCCATAACTGGTACAAGTCTGCTGATCATAACGTCTTTCTAAAGACATTTATTTACGACTTTATTTTTTTATTTATATAATATTTATTATTTACGCCAAATTTGACCCCAAATATTCATCCTCCATCTTGACAATATGTGAATATGCTAATAAAACTTTACCCCTTTAGTCCTCTGTGATATTTTCACTGTAATCTTTATGATATATAGTTGACTCCTGGTTTTAATTAGAGGAAATGCTAAATACATCATCATCCATCAGGCCACCCCCCCCTCCACTTTGAGCCGCCAGTCCAGGAAGCAGGGCGGGCACTCCGCGAAGGGCGGGGATGGAGACGACCAAAGCATGTCTGAGGGCGAGGGAGGCGGCGCCAAAGACGACGAGTCGTGCGCCTCGGCGGCCAATCAGATCAACGAGCAGATGCAGCGGATGCTGAACCAGCTGTGAGTTTTTGTGGCTTCTGAGCGCCTGTCAGTCGTGTCGGCGTTCAGTCACCGTAAAGTCTTTGTGTTACAGGAGAGAGTGCGAGTTTGAGGACGACTGCGACAGTCTGGCCTGGGAGGAAACCGAAGAAACCCTGCTGCTGTGGGAGGATTTTCCCGGATACACGCTGGGAGTGGAAGCGCAGGGAGAGGTACGCCGGCTCAGATACCAGTCGTTTTCCACACTTTAAATTATCCAAAGTTCGAGACTCTGAAAGTTCCTTTACGCTTTGCAAAGTTTTGGTTGAATTAGTGTTCGGTGTCACCATGCTGCACAACATCAAAGAAAGAAAGTGAATAAGACATGAAAATTAATTTAATTTAAACTGATCAACCGTCAGTTGATCCTGCTTTTCAGAAGAATCCCACAGATCAGAGTTACACGAATGGTCTCCAAGCTTTCCTGGCTCATGTTTTTCTTATTTAGTTACTCCTTTTCCTCAACTATCCTCCCTCTAATCAAGTTTTATAGTGTCTGTGTTGCCTCACTACCAAACTGTAGAGAAATGGCCACAATCATATTTAAGTATTGATTTTAACTCTGCTGATGTCACAATGTACCATTGTTATATATCGGCCACATAACGAAATGCCCAGCAGATCAATAGGGTCACTTTAGGGTGTTAAAAGCTTAAACAGAAACACTTTTCAAGCTGTCACAGTGAGACCCGAATAACTGTGTTAGATTATGTTTGTTTCCAAGTTAATCTACCAATTAGAATAGTTCAAATTCAAGTAAAGCATAAGTCTTTAACCACAATATTTGTGGTGAACTATCTGAAGTTTCATCAATGATTGATTAATAGCAAAAAATTATCTCCACGGATGATTCAATCTCAAATGGAAAATATCTTCTATTTGATCATAACCTTAAGGCAATTTTCACCATTTAAGCGTGACTACGCTCATGTCCACATCAACTCAAATCTGAGTTCTCAGACTAAATGAAACGGCTTTTTACATTTGGCTTCCAGAGAAGATTTTTCGTCCCACACTGACAAACACTCTGCTGTGTGCAGCTGCAAGAGGAGTCCATCGAGAAAGTCATAAAAGACACAGAGTGTCTGTTCAAATCCAGAGAGAAGGAATACCAGGACACCATTGACCAGATAGAGGTGAGACATTTCTATTCACATTCAAACTTCCGACGGGGTGGGAAAGAAAAAAGAATGTTGTTTGGCGGTGGGTTTGTTAGAGGCAGTTTTATTGAATGTCTGTACCCTGGTGTCCCGCTCAGCTTGAACTGGCCACAGCAAAGAGCGACATGAACCGCCACCTGCACGAGTACATGGAGATGTGTTCCATGAAGAGGGGGCTGGATGTCCAGATGGAGACCTGCAGGAGGCTCATCACGCAGAGCGGAGACAGGTAGCACACTGAAAATTAGGCTGACTCGGCAGGATTTATGAAGACGTGGCTCTGAGGTCCCTTTTCTCCACCTTACCCTAACAACGGCGGTCTAAAACCTGACAATGGGACGGCTACTACAACACACGCGCAGCGCTGAAATTGGCATAGAAGGTTTCATCACATTAAAGTCGGGAGTTTGATCTGATCCGCTGGAGTGTTTCCAATATGTCGGAACAAGTCGTGGAGATTTAGCTGTGAAATGCACGAGTGGATAGCTAAGGGGAAAAATCTTGGAGACAGTTCTCCATTTCACATGCTATAGTGTTATTGTGTTTGTTTGTTTGTTTGTTTTTTAAAAAGCTTAATGTAAATGTAGTTAAAAAGTAATCTTTTTTTTTTCATTGTAGTGGACCTCACTTAAAAACACACACTGTGCTACTCCTTGGTCAGAAAACGCCACGGAGCAAATCGCTGGCCATTAAAACAAATGAATGGGGCCAGCTCTTCAGCTCTGCAGAAGGCTGACGAGCACCCATTCATTTGGATGCCTTAGAAACAATTGCAAGGCCTCGAGGTTGATTGTTGACTTTGGGAGCGTGATGGCAGCAGTGTCCCTGAAAAGGAAGCCCACTTTGAGAGAAGTCCATTAACCCGTCCTCCTCTGTGCCGCCTTACAGGAAGTCCACCTCCCTCATCACGCTCTCGGTGGACGACTCCGACAACGAGGACAAGGAGAGGAAGAAGCTGGCTCTCCCCGCCGACTCTGAGAGCAGAGACTCCCGCCGCGACATCAATGCCGCTATCCCCCCCCTGACTTGGAGAAAACCCTAGCATTCAGACGTCAGCTGTCTGCACATCCTGCGCAGCGGCTGAGCGACAGGAAAACCAACGCTAGCACACGCACATCAGAAACTGTGCGACTTTTGATTTCATAGAGGCAGTAGCGCTTTAGAAGCAGCAGTTGTGAAGTTTCCTTTCATTTGAAATCATCCTCACGTGTATGCAAAAGCGGCCAGTCAGCAGATCTTTGATCGTTTCTTCACCTGACTGAAAAATCAGCCAGCATGGCATCAGGAAAGCAGCAGAGAAGTTTATCTTCTAAATACAGAGTTTGCTTATGATTATGTATAGTGGGTTAAATTACTTCTATTGACAGTGAGGGACAAGTGGAATTCGAGATGGATTAGTTGAGGTGGATAAGACAAAGTTTTAATATCTCTTAGCTCTCTCTTGTGGTGATAAGGTGTAACTACAGCAGGGTGACAATTTAGGAAATAAAATCCACTTATCCTTCAGTTTTGTTTGACTCCAGAAAAGGGATGCATTATCTTTTCCCCACATACTGATCCTACTTTTGAGTGCAGGAGTCACTTATCTGCACAGTTTAAACTATTGAAATAGTGCACAAAGAAAGTAGTTTGCACAAAAGTGGCACAACAAAAATGTTTATCTGACTTACAATTTCGTTTGGCTTTTAAATATTCAAAGCAAAGTATGGTAATTATTCAAAGCCCCAAATTTATTTTACTGATTTTCCTCTGTCTCTGTTTAAGCCCAATTTGCCTTAAACTTGAACCCAGCTTTTGAGAAAATGATTCAATCGATGCTGAAGAGAAAATTAAGACGCTGTTTCTTCTGGGTGTTAATAAAGGTTTAGTGATCATGTTTTAGCCTTATAGCAATGCTTAAAAGAAAAGTAGGTTGCTATTTTTTTAGCAGCTTTTGTAATTTTTTATTTTTCTTCTGTCTTAGCCATGGAAAACAATTTTTGGCAGAGAGAGTTTAGTATCATATGGACTCTTTTTGATATGTGCTCATAGCATGTTTGTAAATGCTAATCTTAGTGGAGTGAAACTAAAAGCTATATGTTTGGTAATAAAATGTTTCTGTATTTTTAGATTATCAAAATTGACTTAATATAGTTATTATTCCCATTAAAAAAAAGGGGGAAACATCCCAATGTAGAACTAGTTTGATATGTAGTTAAACATGTCTGGATCAATTGGACTCGTGAATTTTGTTTTTGTGATGTCATTGTTGGTTCTTTTGACTTGAGTCTTTCCAACCTGAACACCCTGAGCTCTTAAGAATTTAAAAGTCAAGATTTATTTATTTATTTGTTTGTTTGTTTTTATTTGTTTTAGATTTGAATGCAATTTGAATATGAGAATATCTCAGATATTCCAGGTTTTTGGGTTTGGCCCAAATATGATACCAGCCTCAAATTGGTTTGATTATAAAAAAAAAAAATTAGGTAAAATTGAGTCCAATGGAACTAATTGAATACAGTCATTCTGCTTTAAAAAAAAAAAGGGTTTTCCCTATCCTGTAAATTGTACAGTTTGTAAAGGCTGAATATTGTAATTAATGTACAAGACAGTACTGTGTACACTTCTGAACAACTACAGCTGCTAGCTTAATGTCTTATGATGTAGATTTATCTGACAATAATGCATTTTCACGTTTTTGTTTTATTTGTATTTTTACGCCATCTATTGAACTATTATTTTCATCTTGGCATCACCACTGTAGTACGACCAATATTGTTCCTTCAGTATCCGCTATAAAGCAAACACACGTCTAGAAATGATTGAAGAAAGAGAGTTTTAAGAAGCTGCATATGTGCAATCTGTGGTGGGAAGTTCTCATTGTGATTCTAAACATGTTGCACTGAATTATTTACAGTTCACCTCATTGTACATAAGTCACATCAGTGATTGTCTGCCTGTTCAGTAGCCTGCCACGTCCACCACAGAAAACAAAGCCACTAAATGACTCTCACAATGATCACCGCTTTCTCCACTGAGCACATTTACAAGTGTACCAAACAACCAAGAGGTCAGATTCTATTATCCTGCACTTTTACATGTTGTGTTCTGCTCTGTGAAGAAATTGCCTGAACTTACAGGACTCGTCTCGTCCCTTTCATGTCAAGGAAAGCTGCAAGTTTTCCAAAGGACTTCCCAGAAAACATCACTCACTTTGTGAAAAATGCTGCTTTAAATGACCTGTTTGTTCTTATTATCCGACTGGAAGAAGCTGCAAAGAGGACAGGTCAACATAAAGCTCTTATGAAACGAGGCAAAACGCAGTTTGGGCTGAACAAAAGCTGATCAGTCAGGGGAGCATGATCCCAAACGCGGCTGGTTTGACCCCTGAAGGACTAAAAGCTGTCTGAAATGTCACAAAGTCTGAGCTGTTTGAGGCTGTTTTGGTTCAGAGACTGTGAAGGGGTGGTCCCTCTGGGTTATTCTGCTTTGGTGTGCAGAGCTGTACGTTTGAGAACTGATATCTAACGCACAGAATAAATTATATTCAAAAAATCTCTGTGTGAGCTTATGTTGTTTTTTTCCCTTTCAGGCCACCGAATCCACCTGTGTAGACACACAAAATAACAAATCTGAGATTTTAAGGCTAATACACATCACTGCACTGCTCTGCAACACACAAGGAATCTGTACGATGTGACAAATTATCCCCGAGGCTGTCCGGTTCACCTACAAAAAGCCTCCCAATCACCTCTATCTTCCCAGCCTCCATAAGACAAGAAGGACAGCACCTTTTAAAGACCCTGCTCCGGAAGACAATGAGGACGTTTTGATCCTCCTGGGTGGGTCAGTTTCCTCTCAGAAACATGGAGGACTTGGCTCCATCAGTTCCGTCTTTCTGCTTTCCTAGTTATTTCCTATTTACTGCTTACATCTCAGGCTATTCTCATGGCTAAGCAGGTAGAGACAAACAGCTTCACCACAGATCGATGAGCGACACCCAGAGAAAAACGGCAGCTGAGGGAGAACAGGCTTGCTGTGTCGACACTTCACACTCCAAACCCCGGCTGGGCGCGTTTAGCTCATCCAAACCTCTCCTGGATGTGTTTTCATACTGAGAGCATCAATTGTCAGCCAGCCACAGAGTGTTGTTTTCTTTTTTAGATCATAAATGCATGATCAAATGAAAACAAAGCTATCAAACATGCATATCACCACTTAAAATCCAGCCAAAACCGTTTGGACCAAACATTTCTCACACCAGCAGTTTCCCTGATGTTGGTTCCTGCTCCGCTGTCCCGTTTACAGTCGTCTCAGCTTCCGTGTGCTGGTCATTAGTTCCACTCACTTCACCCGTGTCCAGCTGGCTCAGCTGCTGCTGTCCATCATTCCCTTTTCCACTGTATTTAAGCTTCATGGGGTGGGCATCTCTGTACGTGTACATTTCTATATGTGTGACTGATCAAAGGTTTGTATGGATGTTTAAGTGGTTTGTCCCTTTAGAAATGTGTTTGCATGTGTTTATGCAATGCATGAATATGAGTTATCATTTCCATATAAATATATGTGTGTTACACATGTGTGTATACATATATATATCATGTTGTATATGCATAATGTTGTGTATTTATATTTGAAGTTATCTTTCTATTTATGATTGTATCTAAGTATGTTTAAGCTCATATGTGCATTTGGATTTAAGCATTGTATGTCTATATTTGTATTTACATATGCATAAATTCTACACTGCAGGATGTATATAGCCTTTATATATAGCCTTTTAGCCTTTATACATATTGGCATATTAAAATGACCTTTAATCCCAAAATATTTACTTTCCAATCATGTTTTTTTCTGTTAGCTTTTCACATAGTTTAACATGTTTCCTGGATCTTTAGATCCACTGACCGGATGTTTCCTGCTTAGATGATCAGGTGAGTTTTACCTGATTAAAGTGCACGTGTGCACGCTCCGGAAACCTGGAAGTGACTTAAGCTCCGGACAATAAATCACATTTATGGATTTCCATCCCCTGACGGGTACAGTGCGTGCGCGTGTGCCATTCCGTGTGCGCACTGGTGTGGCTGCGCGGTGGGCGGGGCGTCTGTGTGACGGACGGATTTACCCCCCCACACCCACACACACACATACACACACACACACACACACACACACACACACCCTGTCTGCGTAGCTGCTTCATTTGTAGTTTTTGGTCTGGAGGAAAAAGTGAACTCAGACAGCGGACAGAGACCAAAGCTCAAGCCTTCCGCCTTCCTTCATATTCAGCTGGGACTCACTCCCTGTCCTTCCACTGTCCTCACCCCTCCTCACCCTCCGTCTGTCAGTTAATCTCCATCATCCTGCCGCTGAGATGTGAGTACTCCGACATGTTTCATCATTTTCCATACGTGTAGAAACGTAAACATCTAAAACCTGCAAAAATCAATTTTCTATTATAAGTCGTCACTATTCAGATTGTAGTGTATCAGTGAAAACACTGTTTAAAGTTATTCTGTCCTTGGAAGTCATACATTTAGTTGTTTTTTTAGAATATTTTTTTGGTTGTTGTGTTGTTTTTTTTAACAAAAAAGAAAACTTATAAGCAATCTGGAAATTTCCGGGATGCAGCGGTTTTTTTCTGCAGATCTAGGACCGTGACTCACCGGCTGACTCACCTACAAAACTATCCATCAACTGGGACTGAGCTTAAGTGCGTTTTGCGACACTTTGGAGCTCCAGTCCCCCAATCTCACCAAACAGATTTTAATCAGCTCAAAGCACCAAAAAATAACTGCAACGAGACGGTGAAAACAAAAGAGGATGGCTTATTTATAACATAACAAACTGCCACCGCATGGAGGGTTTCTGGTGGAAAAAAAACAGATATATTAGTTTTTATTTTGTTAAAGTAATTTATTTTCCATTGGGGGGGAGGGGAGGGCAGATTATTTCAGCGTGCATGTTGATCTCCATCAGTCAGGCTGCTGCTGCTGCACTAATCTTTCTCCATTTTGCTTCTGTTGGAGCCACAGCAGTCAACGTGACCTGCTGTTTGCTCAATTTGCTTTGACTGTGTTAAAAAAAAAAAGTTGCATAGGGGAATGAATCGTTGCAGTTTCTCTAAAAACATTTATTTTATGGATGATTCCTCATTTGAATGTTCATTTCAGTTAAATTAATTTCAGATAGATACAAGTTTATCCAACTAAAGGGCAAATGACGTATCTGAATACCCAAACAAATAATCTTTTAGGCCACGGCCGCCACCTTGAAAGACGCCATAATGAATCATGGCCAATTTTTGGCCAACAGGAAGGTGGTCATGTAGCACATCAAAGCAGAATTGCCCCAGAAACTGCTTATGAATCAGATTTGCCACATCTGTACTGCTCCAGAAAGCTCCACAAACACCTGGGATGTTTTTATTTTAACCTGTTCAGCACCAGGGACGAACACGCTTCAAATAACTGCATCACATGCAACGTTCCAACACCAGTCCTGAAACCTTTCACTCACCCAAATTGTTCTTGACTATGTCATATTGTAGGTTTCAAATTGAACAACAATTCATTAGTTGACGTTTTCACAAAGCTGTTGTTTTCTTTCTTTATATTTTAGGTGAAAGGGGGTCAGTTGGTTACAAAGAATTTCATTATTAGCATTTCCTCGTGCACAGTGGCTTTGTTATTTTTTTTCCTGATTTTAGTCCACTGGGTCCAGTCGTGATAAAACTTTGTGAAGAGATTTTGTTGATATTTCTTATTAATCCGAGTTTCACACCATCGGATGGTTTCCATTAGATTTGTTTAAGATTTTCAGAGCTGGATGCTTAGCATGAGGACATGGTGCCTAAACCTTTTCTTAAGAAGCAGGTAAAACTATGGAAAAAATCTGCTTCCAAAGGTTTAAAACCCTCCTTATGTCGATTGTACCCACCTTAAAAATATAAGGAAATTTCATATAAAAGTTTCTTTGTATCACTTTTGACTGCTGGAAAACACATGGTCCAGATGTGTAATGAATAACAAATAAAATAAAATACTCCTTTGGTGAGAACATTTCATCCCCCCCTGGTTTCAATACAATCTGAAAATGACAGACTTCTGCTTTGTGGGAGGACGAGATAGGCCAATATTAATTTGCCTTTTTTACAACAACATTGTATACTTTCTCAGGACATGTCACTTCAACTGTCCGTTTGCTTTTCGTTTCTCCCGTTTGCACGTTTCCTCTAAAGGTCGACTCCAGATGCAGGAGGTCCAGGAGCTCCTGGGGGCCCTGACGGAGAGGGGGGGCCCCCGGCTCCAGCCCCTAACCTGACCAGCAACCGACGACTTCAGCAGACGCAGGCGCAGGTGGACGAGGTGAGCACATCTCAAGGATTATATATATATATATATATATATATATATATATATATATACTCATTTAAGTCTATTCCTCCTATTTGGACCATCAAAATAGAGCTCAACTTATTGAAAAAACATAGTTAAATTATGCAAAGTAAATTTTGATAAGGAAGCATTCTACAGTCTAAAAGCTAATTGAAAATGTTTCTATTGAGTCCAAATTCAGCTCGTAATGAACTTCCTGCCTTCTGCGGAGGCACTAACGGGCGGCTTTGTCCCTCAGGTTGTCGACATCATGCGTGTGAACGTAGACAAAGTCCTGGAGAGGGATCAGAAGCTGTCGGAGTTAGACGACCGGGCCGACGCCCTGCAGGCTGGAGCCTCACAGTTCGAGAGCAGCGCTGCCAAACTCAAGAACAAGTACTGGTGGAAAAACTGCAAGGTGGGCTTTGTTCTGACAGTCTGAGTGTTTGCCGTCGTTCAAACCAACACATTGGTGTTTAGAAGGAAGAATATCCAGTTCCCGCTTTAAGGTTTCTTCAGACTATGCTTTTAAGGCTCATCACCAACATCAAACAATGGTGATTTTCTTCTTTTTTTTTACAGTTTCTTATCTGTTTCATCAATGGCAGTTCTGCAGGAGATTTGAGAGTTTCAATTTCCCATTGAAGAGCAGTTTGTAAAAACATTGAACATTGGAAATTAGTGCTGAGCAAAAAAGAATAGCTTTCCACACAGCTTCATGTTTATCTCCACCCACCTCTTTGTTTGTCCAACCAACAGTCAACCATTGTGTTTATTTTAGGGGGGGGTGGGCATCCTTTGATTGTCCGAGCCCCACCATTGGCCGTGCACTGTGGATCGCCCAATCATTGGGAAAATGGAGGATTACTTTAGAAAAAAAAAACTCCATTTGACTGACATACGTCACAAAGAGAGAGACAGAGAGAGAGAGAGAGAGAGAGAGAAATAGGCAGAGAGAGAGAGAGAGGATATCTCAATCTGGATTACAGTGATGCCGGGGATTAAAGAGCCAGCTGTGATTTGTGATGCAACTCCTCCCATCCAACATCCAGGATTGTTTTCGTCCACTCATGAGGCCCTGAGCTGACATAGTTTTTATCAAACCAACACCGAATGTAGTGTCGTTATAAAACCCCACCGTGTCTGATTTAGCTGCCACATGAACCCTCCTCCTGCCCCAGGCCCTCATCAGGACAGGAAATGTGGATTAAGCCGCCTCTGAAAGTAGTTCCCAACATTGTGTTAAGCAGAAACCGAATGTTTTTCTGCCTTTTTAATTATACCAACTGCTTGATTTACTGCCTTTTCTGCATTGACTTCCTGTTGTTCTCAGCTCCGTTTGTCCTCCTGTTAATCTCTCTTGGCCCCCTTGCTTTAAGGAGATTTCCTGTTCTACGATGCCTGACACTCATTTTGTCAAGTGAATTTTACAAAAACACAGTGTACAAAAAAACTGGTTGTGCAGCTAAATATTAAATATGGATTTTTATAAAGTTAAATAGTATTCCTCATTCAAAAGGCAAATTTTGTAGCAGTTTTCAGAGACGTTTTAGTTCTGTCATGTTGATGTTTAAGGGCTGTTTCCTCTAACCGAACATCCTCTGGCTTTCTCTTGCAGATGATGATCATGATGGCTATTATAGGTGTTATATTTGTCGGCGTTATCTTCTGTGAGTAAAAAAAAGTTTTTAGTTTCATAAAAATAAAAGCGGAATGCTTTGGTTTTTAACTGAAAAATGTATCAAATGCATGTTTTTGTCTGTTTTTCTTCTAAATATTAATATAAATGCTTTTTTTAAATTAATGCCAGCAAAACACCTTTAAGAAAATGGCTCAAAAAGTGTAATGCTGTAATTTCCCTGACAAAGGGTATTCCCAAAGATTTTAGTATTTATTTTTTTAACTTGTTATTTCCCAGAGAGTTCAAGTAGTATTAATTCTAATTGATTAGCTAATTCTACGCTTAGAAAAGAGATTTGTTCATGTGCCAATAACAATGGATCTCAGCATCTGTTTTTAACACAAATATGGTTCTCTTTTTATCATTTTGTCCTTATTTGTCCACTGATTTTAATTTGGTCTTTTGTGCTACAATAGAAAATTTTTATGTTCACAGCATTATTTTTTAAATTAATACTATTCATTTTAGCCATTTATGTTACGTCTTCTTCTGAGCATTACCCTAAAACAATTGTCTGTGTTTGCTGTCCTCAGTGTATTTCTTCTATTGAGCTGCTCTTCTACGGCGGGCACACAAGTCACAGGACAAGTCTGCACCAACACACTGATCCCGGCCAGATCGAACCTTCCCTCAGCGCTCCTCCAGCTCTTCGTCCTCATCTTCCTCAGCGATGCCATCCCCAGAAACCATGCATGGCCTGCAGTTTGCTTCAGATCCTCCTTTTTTTCCTCTGCACCAGGCAGGTTTAGCATGCATGGGTGGGGTTCACTTTGGCAGGACAGTTCACCTTTACAGAAAAAGTAAATTAAATCTTCCTGTTGCTGTTCGTTATACTCCCAGGTTGAGTCAAAGAAATGGGCAACCATCTCTCTTTTTTGATTAAATACAAAGACCTAGTCCAACATACCGATCTCTGACTCTAAGGTGTTTGAGATGAACCACGTTAATAAAGCTACACAAACTTTGTTGCATGTGTCGATAGAAAAAAAATACTGATCTATATTTTCACTGGTAAGTTGTAAATCTTTGTATTGATCGATCAATAAGACACAGCATTTGCTGTAAGTACAAACAGAAAAATTCAATTAATCTTACAAGTTAACACTAAATTTACACTGAAAGAAGCCCAAGATTTTGAATTTGTTTAGTCGTAAATAAAAAGGTTTAAGAGTTAGATGTCCTCTTTAAATCTCCAGTTTCCTTCAAAAAGGTATTTCATGGATTCCTGCTTTTCCCCCCTCTGTCCTTTCAGATAACACTGTACATATCAGGGTTCTCCAGCATTGCTGTTACTGATGCTGAAGACGTTTTACTAAATTTGCATTCTTCTGTCTCCATTTGAAGTTATTTTATCTCTTTTGATGCTTCATCTTCCTCAACTTCCTTTTCCTTGTGCTGTAAACAGTCATGACTTGTGTTTTCTGTTGTTTGAGTGTGCAACATGTTTCTTTGTCCTGTCTGATTTGAGTTCCTCTGTATGTGCAGGACTTTTAAGACATTTCCATCAGTGTGTTATGTACCAGAAAAAAAGACATTAAAGGAGCGAACATCTAGCCTGGAATAGGATGAGGATAAGTTATGTATTTGAGAGCGGATTCTTATGGTGATGTTTTCTTTGATGTACACAGTTGAGAGGCACTGATGTTTCAGAGTGGTCTGGAACTTAAAATAAATTAATGTTTGCATTAGACTTGTGGTGATTGAGCCCTGAATTCTTTAACCTGCATATTCTCTTCCCATTTACAGTCCACATTTATCCTCCTGGGTCTGTTTTGCTTGGATTATTGCATAATTGGCTGGAACCATCATGTAATTTGTCATGGGTCAAACTGACCAGGAAACAAATATTCATTCATTTAAAAGTTTTACGAATTGAAGTTATTACTACCAAAAGTACAAATTATTTTAAAAAAGGCCAGTTGCCCTTATTCAGTTTCACAGGATTAATAAAAGACTGAATAAGTCAGAGGAGCTGGCAGAAGTGTCGGGGGAGAGGGAAGTCTGGGTTCCCCTGCTTCAGCTGCTGCCCCCGCATCCCGATTGGTGGAAAATGGACAGATGGATAACTAAAATTTTAAAACTGCCATGGGAATGTAACAAAAGTATTCTTCTAGAAAATGCATTTTAATAAATTCCAATCATTTTGTGATAATTCTTCTTTAATCGTTTAGTTCAGATAATTTATTTGGGGCTATTTGCAAATGAAAACTGAAAGTTTACTGAACACCTTAAACAGAAAGTGCTAAAGGTGCAGAATGTGGGATTCAGTGCCTCCTACAGGTAAAGCTGTAGACTGCAGCATATTTAACACAGCTTCCTACCCTGTAGCAAAGCTGTGGGGAAACCTGAGGCAGCCAAAAACTTGGATACCCCTCACCTTTTCCTCACAGTTCTGCATTTTGAAGAGGCTTAACCTGAGGGGTTATGACATGTTTCTAATGTAAGCATGTCCTTTCTGTAGGGTTTTCTTTAGTTCAGTTTACATGGGCATCCTACACCCCACTAAACAAGACTTTGATTTGAAAGTGACAGCTAGTTACCGGCTGTTGTAGCCACTCATACACTTTCATAAATTAAACAAGAGGCATTAATCAGTTTTGAATCAGAGGAAATTTCTTAACTACCACTTGGGATAAACGTGTATAGAAAATAGAAGGGTGGATGGGAGAGCGAGTTTTTGGGCTCCGCCTGCTTGCATTTCTGAACGGCTGAGCAGAGATTGAGGCTTTTCACAGATTTCCGTCTTCCTTGTCCGACCGAAGGCAATTGACACACCGGTTTCCTAGGTGATGATCACTGAATGTAGTGGAAAGTAAAATCCATTTTTCCTTTCTTAAAATTACCACCAAAAAAAGAGGTTTACTTTTTTTTTTTATTTAGGTCCCAAAAAAACCATAACAACATTATATCAATAATATTAATACAGAAATTGAAAAAAGGAGAAAAATAATAATAAAACAGCTTTTCTGTCCACAGCCTCATTCTCATGGGTCGGAGGAGCTTTTATCCTCCAGAAAAACTCTGTAAAGTCTGTTTTTGGGGGGCAAAGAGAACTGGGAGTGGCTTAAAGCTTGGGCTCGCTGTCCATCATTCTGCTGTGCACCAATCAGGAATGTAGAGGTGAGGCAGGGGGTGGTTCTCAAAGTTAGAGACAAATTTCAGTCTACTGCTGCGACATCTGTCAGACAAACAAAAGAAGAAGTAGTCATCAAAGCTTCCAAACTCACTGCGTTTCCATAATTTCTGAGCTGGTAATGAGCGCTTACCTGCTGTGCCTGTGCCTGTGTGTCGGGTCCTCGGCTCGCCAGGCGGCTCAGGATGTTCCTCTCAGACATCTGGAGCCGCACTGCCACTGGCGGTATCCGGGCAATGGTTGCCGGGAGGCGGGTCACGTCCGCCTTCATGTCACTCAGCAGTTCCTCCAGCTGCTTCAGCACTGAGACGCAGAGCAGAGCAATAAGACGCCGAATGTTTCAGGCATCTGACGTCCAGCCGGCGGCTTGGACCGTTTGGTTCTGGTTTTTACCTTTGTGCAGGACGGCGTTTGCCGGTTTGTTCCCGGACATCGACTCTTTGCTGAGATGCTGGTGGGACTCAGCTAGACACTCCACCTCGCTGAAGCGGGTGTTGAGGGCCATGGAGGGGTGGGAGGGGTCCTCTGACATGTTGAGGTAGGCGGCTCGACGCAGCTGCTCCTCGATGACCAGCGCCTGTTCCAACAGCTGGAATGGGAAGAGAGAAAAGACCAGAAGGTGAATATGGGCCACGGAGAAGGGCCAGGACTGTTCTTCCTGTTCTGGAAAACATCAAAATCCTTGTGTTCTCCCAATGACTCGACTCCCACCTTGAATCTCCTGGCGAGGAACTTGTTCTTGATCTCCAGAAAGTTCCCCCTGTTCATCTCCCCCTTAAAGGGTTCGTTGAGGATGGCGAACCGCACGTCATTCTGGATGTCCTGCCAGCGGGCGTAACCATGTCTGAGGGAAGCGGCGGTCAAGAGGAATAACAGCTCTTATGTCAGCTACACAATGTGTCAGAACGCCCTCAAACCAAATGAGACAGACGGGGCCGCGACTCGGGTGGGAAAAGGATACTGTATGATGCCAGCCAGCAGCCAGTAGTCATGGCGACGGTGCCAGATCTCGTTGGTCTTCTTGGTGACGGTGGCGGCACGCTCCTCGTTCTGCCATAAAGAATGGAGCTCTGAAGGGGGAGAAGGAAGGAGTTAGGGCTTCCGTTGAATTTTCACTGGCCATTGATTGGCCGTCTGTGTGGGGCCACACCTGTGAAGCCTCCATCTGCGATGTTGAACATGAAGCGGCTTTTGGCCTTCTTCTTCTCCTCGCTCACGGTGCTGGCGGCGGCAGCCGGCGTGGAGGCGGCGCCCTCTTTGCTGTCTCCGTTCTGCAACTTGGGGGCCTCCTCTGGCTTCGGGGCGTCCTTCTCATCCTTTACGTCTGAAAGGCGGCGAGGGAGAGCAACCGTTAACCAATGTCTGATAAAAAAATAAACAGCCTGATATGTTTAAGGAAGGCAGGTGTGGGGTACCTTTCTTGTCGTCAGCGGGAGGAGTGGTGTCCATCTTTTCTGCATTCTCTTCTTTCTTTTCTTCTGTTGCAAAGCAGGAAAAATCAAAATTAAGTATCGCAGGATTTTGAGATGGCATCTTAAATTTCACCTATCCTGAACACAAAGTCGTTTGTACCCAAATTGTTTTCCCTGTCAGATGAAGAGTGCGACATGTTTTACCTTTGACCTCAGAGTCCTCGGACTTGACCTCTGACCCTTCGGTCTTTGCCTCCGCTGGTGACTTTGTTTCCTCGCCTCCCTCTGGACTCTTCTTCTCGGCCTCTGCCTCCTTCTCGCCTTCCTTCTCTTTGGGGGGGCTTTCCGCTTCGCCGTTGCTCGGTTTGTCCGTCTCCATCGGCTCCTCGCCGTTCTTCTTCTCCTGTTCGGCAGTCGGACTCTTTTCATCATCATCATCTGGGATGGCGATCACCTGTGAGGGGAGCATAAAAGATATTTTAAAAAGGTTCAAATCCGACTTCAAGTGCTGGCCGGCGTGAAAAGCATCGTCACCTCGTCGTCGGCTTTGACGGGCTCCTTGCTGCTCTTCTCCACCTCGCGTTCTTTCCTCGCCTCCTTCTCTGTCTCCTTTGCAGCCTCCTTTGCGGCTTCCTTTGCGGCTTCCTTTGCGGCTTCCTTTGCCGCCTCCTTTGCCGCCTCATCTGTCTTTGAGGAGTCATCGACTACGAACAAAGAAAGCGCCGACGATTATGCCGCTTTCGTTAGCTTTACAGCAGCGTCTCAGAGACGCTGAGCGTGCGTGCGTCCGCCCGCCTCTGCGTGTCCTACCTGGAGCGGGTGTGTTGGGCTGTGTGTCGGCGGGGGTGCCGGTGGAGGGGGTTTTTCCTGGCGAATCGGGCTGCGCTGCGACCCTCTTGTTCTCCTCCAGCTCGGCCATCCAGGGCATCGACCACTGACCGTTCACGTGCTCGAACTCCTGAACCTGCCGCGGGAGGATTAAGCATGTTTTCTAGCCATTCAGGAGAGAATTTGCTTATTGTGATGATATTACATGAATCGAAACTCATGGATTGTTTATATGTTGGTGCAGATTTTGAGTGTGAAAGTCCCAGCAGTGAAGCCTGAAGCTGCCCTGACCAAAAGGCTCTGAGCATGAGCCATAAATGAGGAGAAAGCTTTCATTATTTTAAAATCGTGTCTGTGACATTTACCCTTCAGAGAGAACGCAGCCGTCGGCCTCTTTGTTTTTTTCCTGTGCTCAATAAAGACCGAAAAAGAGGCTGAATTCTGGTACCTTTTTGCGAATAAGGGACATGACGCCGATGCGAGTGAGGACATGTTGCCGCGACAACCCTTCCCTGGGGACTCCATCGGCGAAGGTCTCGGCGCCGTCGGCTCCGGGTTCACAAAGGTGGCGCATAAACAAAGAAACGTAGGCCCTGCGCAGGTGAGAAAAGGAGAAATATTTATAAGTCATATAAGTAATATTAATTAATATTTGTGTAACACGATAATATTGTGTAAACACGATTGTAGGAGCAAGCCGAGATGCTTACTTGAATTCTTTCTCAGACTTCCCTCGCAGGTCTCGGACCAGCCACTGGGTGGTAAAGGCGTCTTGGGGAGGCATCCCATAACGCATCACTGCATTCAGGAAAGCCTTCCTCTGCCGAGAGTTAAAGCCCAGCACCTGGTAAAGGGAAAAAAAAACAAGCTGCTTCAGATTTCTCTGTACATCTTCATATGTTGTTACACAAGAAAACATGCAGATCCAAGGCCTTTTGGTCAAAGGGAGGCAGCGGCCGAGCTCACCTCGATGTTGCCTCCCACCCTGGCCAGCAGGGGGGGCAGTGGTTTGTCTTTGTCGTTCCTCAGGCCCTTCCTGTTCGGCCGGCGGGAGTTGGCTGCAGAGAAGAAGCAGATGTGGTGATTTATAATGACTGTATTTCTAGAAGATTTATAATAACTGATTTATAATAATGGAGTATTAGAAACATTTACACCTCTATGAGTAAACGGAAAGTGGTTCGTACCCTCTGATCTCTCATCAAAGTCCTCGTCACCCTCCTCAGACGCCACAGAGTAATCTGATTGGCCATCGGACTGATCATCCTGCCAATCAGCTTCAAGAGAAAAAACAAAGACAATTCTGAAACATCACTGAAGATTCACATACAGTTAAGTGAGCTCCTATGCATCAACAGCTTCTACAAGCTTCTATGATCCAGACTAAGATATGAAGATGTCCACTGCAGATTTTAGAGGCTAAGAGTGTTCCTTAATTTGAATGACATCAAATCAAAGAGGAAAATACAATGATCAGAATAGATTTTTTTTAAATTATTTTCTGGGGTTTTTCAGCCTTTTTTTGTTCACCCATTGTATATGACATATGAGCAAAACCTGGCTTTAAAAAAATAAATAAAAAAATAAAAAGGGGGGTCAGACTTTAATATACAAAGTGAGAAAGGAAACGAATTGTCTTCCAAAACCTAAATGCTTTTAAACATATCCACTTGTACTTCAGAGATGGAAGCCCCTCAGAAAGATGTTGAAACTGTGTTGTAATGTTCTGTACCTCTGTCTTCTTGTGAGCCGTCGTTGTAGTTGACCTGCTTGCGGATTCGTTTGCCTTTGCCCAGGTTTCGGGCCAGGTCCTCCTGCTGCTGCTCGTAATGGTGCCGCAGGAGTTTCTCCCAGTAGTCTGGATCCACGCTCTCCTCCTGCTTGATGATCTCCCGTTGCACTTCCTCCTCCTGAGTGATGAGGAACAGGCATAGTGTAGGTAACGGGTTGACTGAAGGAAAGGCCCCTTTAATCCCACACCACACCGCCGAGGGAACCCACCTCCTCCTCCTCATCTTTGACCACATACTGAGCCACTTTGAAGGAGCTCAGGTACTCGTTCATGCTCTGCAGCTCTGTGTCATCTGTGGCATCCTGATTCCTGTCCAGCAGTCGGTCGATGGCTTTGTCGTCGTAGTGGATGATGCTGCTGTCCTCCTCTTTGTTGTCACCTGAGGACACACAAAGAACAATAAGGTTGCTCTTTTTCTTTTTTTCACGTCTACTCTTGAAAAAGGCACTAGTGCTTGTGAAGCCGTCCTCACCCTCCCCTTCGTCCTTGAAAAGCTGTTCTGTTCCAAACTTGAGGATGTCGTCCAGTTCCTGCTTGGACATGGAGCCGGTTTTGGATCCGAGACCAGGTCGGACCACCAGGTGAGTCAGCATCATCTTCTTCTTGGCAACCTGGAGCAGAACCACGAGGAAAATGAAAATCTTTGACAACTGATTGAAATCACAAGCTGCTCACCGTCTCCGTAGAAGAGAAAATAAAAAATAAAAAAAAGCATTTATAGTTTATTTTACCTGAGTAATCCTCTCCTCCACAGAGGCCTTGGTCACAAAACGGTAGATCATCACCTTCTTGTTTTGGCCGATACGATGAGCTCTGCTGAAGGCCTAGAGACAGAGGAGTACAATTAGTTTCCTTTTTTTTTTTTCAAAAAGGACATTTCAGCAGGTTCATTAGCTGCTTCTAACCATGTTTTAACATAAAACAAGTGGTATGCTGAACCTGGATGTCATTGTGAGGATTCCAGTCCGAGTCGTAGATGATGACGGTGTCGGCTGTGGCCAGGTTGATTCCCAAACCTCCAGCCCTCGTTGACAGGAGGAAGGCAAACTGCGGAGCACCCGGAGCTGAGGGTCAAAGTAAATGATTAATGCTGTATTTAAAAAAATTATAATAAAAGAAAAGGAAAAAGGAATTGTTTTTAGATTTTATGACGTTTAACTAGAAGATGTAAAGGCTAACTTGGACATGGAACACAAAAGGAAAAACTCAGGGAAGAGCCTGATGCAAAAATGATGAATCCAGGCTTGTACAATATAGCTCACCATTGAAACGATCGATAGCCTCCTGTCTCATCCCTCCTGTGATTCCTCCGTCAATTCTTTCATACTTGTAACCCTCATTCTCCAGGAAGTCCTCCAACAGATCCAACATCTTGGTCATCTGCGGGAAAAGATTAAAAGCCACAGGCTGGTTAATAAAAACAAGGGGAAAATCGACTATAACAAATGAGCTCTAAATGCACGAAATCCAAAGTGCCTCACCTGAGAGAAAACAAGCACCCTGTGCCCCCCCTCCTTCAATTTCCGCATCATCTTCTGCAGTAAACAAAGTTTTCCAGACGATTTTGTAAGAGCGTTCCCATCGTACATCCCATTGGGCATCTTTGGAGCTTCCTGTTTGAATAGACAAATAAAAACTTAGAGCAGATGAAATCCTCAGCGGATTCTCTCCGCTTCTCCCTGCTGATTGGGTCGTACCATGGCAGCTGCGGGGAAGAGGTAGGGGTGGTTGCAGCATTTCTTGAGGTCCATGACCACATTTAGAAGTGACACCTGGTTTCCTCCTCCTTTTGTGTTGAGGGCCTCAAAGTTTTTCGTTAGGATGAATTTGTAATATTTCCTAAGAACAAACAACAGATGTAAGCATTCAGCCTCCCCCTCCCCACCCAACACAGTTTGTTATATTCAGGACTACAGACTTACTTTTGCATGGGGCTGAGCTCCACTCTGACAATGAGCTCGGTCTTTGAGGGCATGTGTTTGAAGACATCGGCCTTCAGCCTTCTGAGCATGTGCGGACCCAGCATGTCGTGCAGCTTCTTGATCTGGTCCTCCTTGGCGATGTCGGCGAACTCCTCCAGGAAGACTTCCAAGGTGCTGCAGATGAAGACAGACACAGGTGAGCTCTTTTTGATCGCAGGCACTGCAGCCGCACAGCTCACCATCAAAAGCAGCTCCACTTCAAGTTTTAGTTTCAAACTCTTTCTCTGATCTCATGTGGAGGTCTTTTCCCCCACTGATGAATTTGATCCTTAAATATAGACTCTTAGGCCCTCTGTTGACCTGCTTGCTGTGGATGTTTGCTTAAGGCTAATGGGATGATTTTAGAACCAGAGTGCTTCGTACGGTCAATTTGAGATTGAATTATTCAACCATTTGCCGGATTTGGTTATCTCTAAAACAGTCATAATGCAGTTTTGAAAGTTAAATATATGATATTACTCATCACATATTTCTGCTGCAAAACGCAAAAGCCTCTTTGGAATTACTGGGTAACTTTATCCTTCAAGCCCCAAAATGTACTTAAAACCTACACTGACTGAAGACAATGTTTTGTATGATTGTGACCTCAGACAAACAGCAGAGTATAAAAAGAAACCAGACAGACAACTAAGAGGCCAGACTTACTTGAACCTCTCAGGTGTGAGGAAGTTGAGGAGGTGGAAAAGCTCCTCCAGGTTGTTTTGTAGAGGAGTTCCAGTCAGTAGCAGTTTGTGCTGCAGGGAGTAGTTGTTCAGCACCCGGAAAAACTGAGGGAAAGAACACGAAAAAATGCGTTTAAAAAAAAGGTTTCAGGGTGAGTGAGAAAGAGCTTTATATGCTTTGAATTCAGATATATTAAAAAACATTGATTAGACTGTGGTGTGACAAACCACCCGGTTGATCAACTGGTTGTTTGTCGTACTAATTGAACAACCTTGTGACTTTGTACCTTAGACTGGTTATTCTTCAGCCTATGGGCCTCATCCACCACCAGGCAGGCCCAATCGATCGATCCCAGGATGGCCATGTCGATGGTGATCAGCTCGTAAGATGTCAGCAGAACATGGAACTTTATGGACGAGTCTTTCTGTTGGTGGTAAGCCATAAAGAAAGTCAAGTTACATACCACACAAGAAAAAAAATTCATTCTGCCTTCGGCAACGACGACTCCTTTCACCTTCATCCTGGATGCCTTCTTTCCTCCCCGGATGGCGTTGTCCTCGAAGGAGAACTCGTTCTCCCTGATGACGGCTCTGCTGTCTTTGTCTCCTACGTACGTCACCACGTACATGTCGGGCGCCCACATCTCAAACTCCCTCTCCCAGTTGATGATGGTTGAGAGAGGAGCGCTGACGAGGAACGGCCCCTTGGAGTGACCCTGAAGGCGGAGGAAAGACGTCAGTGCATACCCAGCCGAAACAACTGTCTGAAACAACTAATCAGCACTCCATCTGCACTATGCTGCACAACATAAAAAAACCCTTTGTCAGACATTTACATAGACAATAACAAAAAGTGGGATTAAAACGTTACAGGAAGTTTACAAAAAAATCCCACTATTTAGCAGGATGTTTTCCAGCCTCCCACCTTTAGGGGGCAGCAGCCACACGTGGCAAGTGCCTGATTGTTTACAGTTTCAGATTCAAGTTAATGTCGTCAGATTTCACCTGACTTATACAAAATGGCTGGATGGATCCTTACCACCACATCCCCCCCCCGACAACAGCTGACTACGGACAATACCACAGTCACACAAAGAATAGCTCATTCATGGCAACTTAAACTGCAGTAAAAATTTGAAATAAAAGTAAATTTACACTAAATATTGAAAATAATGAAAAATTAATTGAATTTTGAAAGAAATATGCCAAAAAACACCGCTACATTCTTGGCATGTGTGACCTCAGATGGAGCTGATGCACAGCAATAAACACCACATCGCATTGCACAGCATAGTACCTCTTTATACAAGGAGTAGAGGAAGACGGCAGTCTGCACTGTCTTTCCCAAACCCATTTCATCGGCGAGGATGGTGTCGGTGCCCTGGGCCCAGGAGAACCGCAGCCAGTTGAGGCCCTCCAGCTGGTAGGGGTGCAGAGTTCCTCCGGTGCTGTCCAGGTACTCGGGTTGACGCTCAAACTTTATCGTTGGCTGGAGACAGAAGTCAGGATCAAAGGCTGAATTTGAACAAAAAGCTTTAATATTATTTGATGTAATGGATTGTAATTTAAAAATAAAAAAATATAAATAAAAATTGGGGTTTAGGGCTAATGAGTTAAACACATGGTTAATAGTTGCTCAATTACTGTCAGAGTTAAAGGTGGTGATGAATTAAACAAATAGTTGAAATTCTGTACAAACAGAACAAGACACTGAAGCGGACTCACGTCTATCACTGGGTTCTCAGGAGGCCTGTCCGGCCGCTTCACCCTTCCTTTCACCTTGAGCTTCTTCCCAGGCTTCCCTTCCTCTCCCATCATCAGCTCTCTGGAACACATGCACGCTTAGCCAAAGAAGTCACACTCTGTGCTGATTGCTGGTGCTGAGCTGAAGGTATGGCACCTGTGGTTCCAGTACTGCAGTTTGTAGGGGTCGAACTCGGGCACGTCCATGTCCTCGGCCTCCCAGGTGGCCTGGTCGTACGCCAGCTCCCGCCACTTGATCAAGTAGTGGACGTTGTTCTTCCTGTCCACGCTGAGGAACCCAGCAGAGAAACACAAACCGTCACGTTCACACGTTTATTAAAAGGATTTACTCAACAAAAGTGGGACACATATTTGGAACATATGAAGACATTAAGACAGACATGGAAAAAGAAGGTAAAAAAGATTGTGGAAAAAACATCGTATTGGTCATTCGGAGACGTGTGCAGATGCTTTGTGTGGTCCAACCTGTGGTTCAGGACGCGGTGGATCATCAGCCACTCCATCTTGATTCCAAAGCGGAGGTATCTCTCCTCCAGCTGAACATACATTGGATCCTTGTTCTTCCTCTTGTGGCACTTGTCCTCCTCTCCGTCACCAAAGTCGATGGGAGGCGGCTCGTCCATGTCGTTCTTTCTCTGGTAGTTCCTGAACATCACCTGGCAGTGCATCTCCAGCTGCATTGGGCAATAAGCAATGTTAGAGAGGCTGTTCGGTGCACCGTCTCTTTAAGATTGGCCTGTACGGTGCACACCTGGAGCTCTGAGACCCATGAGCAATGCCAGTAAGACATGTTGCACCATTTGGCGAAGAACTCTCTCTCGGGTCGCCCTGCCAGCGGAGCAGGGTCTGGTGCGTCAGCCGGGAGGTCTGGGGGGCGGGGCACCGGTGTGGGAGGAGGGGGGTCTCCCCATCGCCATGTCAAGATCTTCTGTACCTTCCCTTTCATGGGTGGACACTGAAAACAGGAGAGGTGCTTTATTCATCTTCATTCCCTTCTTTAAAGTCAACAAATCTGAGTTTATTTTCAGGCTGTTGTATCCAAAACCCCTAAACTGACGCGAGTCCTTTGGATCTTTTATCAGCCACTGATCTTGACCCATTTTACCTCCTTTTCCATAGAAAAAACTTGTTTAAATTAATAACCACAGAAGGTAATAGTCATGAACATTTTCTACATTCTAAGGGACTCCAGAGACAAACAGAGGTCTAAAGGATAAAAAGCTGATTATTTAGTAATCATAATAATAAAGGCTGGATTTCACATCTGCTTAATGAGCCACCTCCTGTCACCATTAAAAAAAAATGTTTAAAGTCAAATTAGTTTAAATTAAATTTGATTGACTCAATTACTGGTTGCTTCTCCATTTGAGGTGGCGTGTCCATGGAAATATGAGTTAGCCCAGCTGGGCCAAAAACTGGACCGCTGGCCCACTTACCGTGCATCGGGGGCAGATCCACTCTCCGTTGGGGATCTCCGGGAGCGGGGGGTTGAGGCAGTGGATGTGGTACGACGACGGACACGAGTCGCAGCAGAGGAGCTCTCCTCCATCTTTACAAACTCTGCAGAACTCCATGTGGTGATCGTCCTCCTCCGTCTCCCCCGTCTCCCCGTTGTCTTCCTCTCCTTCCGAGACCTCCTCTCTGGCTTCCCACTGGATCCCCTCCTTCTCCTGGGATTGAGGGAACCAAAGGAATATCCAGTTTCTCTTCACTCGTGTTTTTCTTTTTTTATAAGCAAGGTTTAAGGAGATTTAGAAGAAGTCTTACGCAGTGGGGGCAGCTCCAGGTACCCTCGGGGGCCTTCTCCATGTCGGGGTCCAGGCAGACCATGTGATACGCTCGGGGACAGGTGTCGCACAGGATGATCTCTCCACCCTGCTGGCAAACCTCACAGTAGTCCTGGTGGTCGGTCTCATATCCGTCACCATCCTCTGCTTCTGGGGGAAGAACTGCTTTACTTTTCCAAGAACCTGGATGCGTTACTGTAATCCAGGCATTCACGACACAGCTGGTGTGTACGTTGTTTGTTGTTTGTTACAGGACACCCACGCCCTGAGTCACCCTTTCCCCTCGAGTAAAGATTACCTCAATAACAGATTTTAGTTTTGTTTGAGGCCTTTCTTAAGGGTTTTGACTCTTTGAGCTCTGGACGCAAACAAACAAACAATAAAACCTTTAAAAGCTTCAGTAAAACAACCCAGCGGCTGAAAGGATTCCCAAACTCTCAACAGTCGTGTCTTTGTGGAGACTTTGACCTCTTAATGTTGCTGATGTGAATCCGTCCATGACGTCTTCTAATCAGTGCTTCAGTCTTGTGACAGCAGCAGCGGAAGACGACGTAAAAGTCAACAACCCAGAAGACGTAGCACTTCTAAATATACCGAGCTCCACTGAGTCAAGCACAGTGACTAATGTGTGTCTGTCCACCTCGTGTTGTGCGCTCCACACACCACCTTTCTCTGCATCCTTAACCAACTGCCTCTATTGGCGATCATTAACAGCTCAATGGGAACAACATTTCTAAAACCACTAATAAGGCGACATATTGGTGCTAACCTTTCTTTTTCTTAGGTTTGCTCTTTGAGGGCTTCTTTTTCCCACGGCTGCTGCGGCTGTTTGAACCTTCTGAGATGGAGACGCTGTTGATGCTGCCGTTCTCGAAATCACTATCAACATCTGGCTCGTCCTCCTCGCTCTGCGCACAAGGATAAATAAGCAGAAGGTTTACGGGAATCCCTGAATCTGCACACGGCTTGGTTTGGTGCAAAGAGATTTGAAGAAAGCTCGTACTGATGAGCGTTTCCTCTTGCTGTTGAAGCCTCCCAGTTTGATTTTTAAAGGAGCAACTTTCTTTGTCTTGGTATTATTCTTCTTTTCCTGTGGTTTTGGTGCAGGTTTGGGTTTCTTGCGGGCATTAGGACCTGTAGACCCACAAAAAAAAAAGAAAAGAAAAATGTAAATCATTCACAAACCTGTCAATATTGAATATGTCCAGAAGACAAAAGACAAGAGAACCAAAGGCCTCTTTTTTCTTGAACTCTTCACAGATATTAATACTAAAAAAAAATAAAAAAAAAGAAGGCAGTTATATTTTGCTGACTCTGCTGCCCACAGTACCTTTGCCTTCCTTGGTCTTGGCCTTGCGGATTGGAGGTGGAGGCGTCTGCAAGGGCTCTGCTGGGACAGATGGGGCTACAGCTGCTGGGGCGACCTCTGCCACCATGTTGTCCACAGCAGCTGGTACGTTAGCAGTGGCAAGTGCAGCGTTTGCAGCAGCTGCGCCTCTCAGGGGGTTGTTAGTGCTGAACTCGCGCCACTTGGCTCCAAGAACCATCATCATCTTTGACACGGCGATCTTGGGGTTCTTGGCTGCAATGAGTGGTCTGCGGATGAGGGTAAAAACATTTAATAAGTGATCCAAGTAATTTTTTCCTTTGCAAAAACATAATGCTATATTTTTAGCAGTTTGAAACAGGCTTTTCGAAACGGGTGAGAAGAGCAGGGCCACATGGGAGCCTTCTGGCACCTCAGGCTAATGGCAGCAAAGTAAAAACACCTGGGACTGTAAGCAACGACATACCTGACAAACTGGCTGAAGGCCTTGTAGTTGGTCAGAGATCTGTAGTCCTCCTCAGTGAAAACGTGGTCGATGTCCTCCATGCCCCAGTCATCCAGCAGCTGAGACGACGACTTTGGTTCCTTTGAGAAACAGCGCATTGAAAATTAAAAGTTAGACGGATAGAGTGAAAATATTAATCAGCTGTTAAATTCAAGACAGCAAAAAAAAAAAAAAATTCAAATCTGGGGCAGTTTCTCCTGCTGTACATCACTCTCTGCTCCTTGCTCTGAGAGTTCTGTCTATTTTCTTTTTATGCTCTCGCATAAGAATAATATAAAACATAAAAAATTAATAAACCTGAAGATTAAACAAAGAAAATCTTTAGACCTAAAGGGAATTTAGGATTTAATTTAAGATTTAAATTAAACCTCAACATGAAACAGTAGAACAGTATAAACAGTAGACACTAAAGTCAGATGCAATACACAGAAACTCCTTCAAGCGCTAACTTCCCAGTTCTCTCAGAAACTGTCCATCCAACTTGGATAAATTGGTTCAATAATCAGTCTTTAGAGACAAAAAGCCTGGCTGTGTTAAGCATGTGGAAAACGTGTGTATTTCAGAACATCAAGATCCACAACAAACCATCTTTTAAACACAAAAAGCTCCCGCTGCACCGATCACACACGAGCCGAGTGTCACACACGGGACCAGCTGCGACTTCCACTGAGCCACAAGACAAGGCCTCGCTGCAGAGCCTCACTCAGACTGGAAAGAAGTGCCGCTTTTTATTTGTTCATCAAACGCCAGCGCTCAAAAAACACACTTCATTTATCTCGGCTTATCAGCAAGGGTTCTGTTTTCCTTCCATATATATAGAAAATCGTGCCACAGACACTTCCGATCCGTGTGGTTTAATAGCCTTTTTACAAAAACAAATTTTTCTCCCTACTATCTGCGTGGTTAAGTGGTTCAAGTGGCCAGTGAAGGGCCTCTAAAAGCAGAATCCAGAAAGCTTGGAGATATAGGCACCACTTCAGTGCCCGTACAGTTAATTTGTTCAACACATCCTAATTCCCACAATCATTTTACATTTAAATGCAAAATGAGAATCAGGACTCTTTTGAAGTAAAAACGCAGCTTCACTGCTGTATGTATCAGAAAATACAGACAAACCAATAAAAGAGGATTTTCATCAACGGTAAGAAAAGAGTTTAGTTGCAGACTGATGCTGCTTACTAATCTTTGAGCCGGCGTTTACCTTTGATGTTTTTATGTGAGACAGGTATAGCAAAGCACAAAATGGGGCCTAATGTTTGACCACATAATGAGCTGCTGTGCACCATGGACAAACAGTTTTAAGCATCGAACAGCTGAGAAGAAGAGCTTAAATCAATGAATCAAAGAAAAGAAGCAAATCATTCATTTAATTTTTTCTCTAAAGAAAAATACATTGAGTTCATTTTAAACTGGGGCTCGGTTTAAAGGACCCTGAAAATGAACAAAGAGGCTTATCTCAGCTCCTAATCAACTGCGCGGCCCCCTGTTGGCTGCAAAGCCCGAGTCCACCAGACGCAGCTCTTTGTTTACTGTTCACCAAACCACAGAGGACGCCGTTACAGGTACACAATCACAAAATGTCCATCACAGAGCAGAGAAAAGGCTGTAAGGGCTTTTCTTTTCCGAAAGAAGCGCCTTTAGAATTGGACCGCAGACACTGCACACAATAGGTACGTGAAAATAAAAAGCTAGCGTCAACATTTCTGGGCACTTTTGGCCAATAATGCCTCTTTCCTTTGGGAAACGTAATATAGGGGCCCATTGATTACTGCATTTTTTTAAAAATTCAATTAGGAGGCCTTTTCATGAGTTCTATAATCCATCACACAGAGCATGGAGAAATAAATTCAGACAACCAATTGGGCCCAAAACTAATGCTAGAAGCTTGTTTTACAATGGGAGTGTGAAGGGCATCATCTGTGTTCACCTGCAGGAAAAAAGACCCAGTCTCAACTACTTGTGTCTGCTTATGGAGCACGTGGACTGAGACACTTAAATCCTAATCCTCTCACCCCATTGAGAGCCCTAAACATTTACTTACAGAGCAGTCGTCGTCATCGTCATCATCATCTTCTTCTGGCTCTGGTTCTTTCCTCTTGGAGGAGCTCCTCTCAGCCACTCCACTGCTCCTCTTCTTTTCTTTGCCGCTGCTGCCTCTCTTCTTCTTCTTCCGCCCGGGAGTGTAGTCGCTACCCTCGCTGTCGGAGCGCTGGGCAGGGCCTCCATCTTCTACATCTTCCACACCGCCCATGTCCATGGGCTCTGGGGAGCTGATTGCAAGCTCCTGGAACAAGGAAGAGTGCAGATGGGAGTCAGCAAACTAAGAACAAAATGTTCTAAGTTTCAAAGCAGTCACACTTGGCTACCATTATAAATTGACCATGATTTCCACAGATGAGAGGGACAGGATTTGTGTGATGACTTTCTTTACAAATCGGATTTAGAATTCCCTTAAAAAGCTTTAAAAAAATAATAATAAATAAAAAATGTTTAAAAAAAAAAAAAAAAAAAAATCACACAGGACGTCTGTCATAGAGCCCTTCTCGCCCATCTTACCTCCCTGCGTGACCGCCTCTTGCTGCCCTTGCTCTCTCTGCTCTTCTTCGCTTTTTTCTTCTTCTTCACCTTCGGAGTTTCGCTCTCCGAGATCTCCTCTTCCTCATCATCTATAAATTGGGCCGGTGGAAAGACAACATGGCTAAGACAGACACTGACTGACTGTGTGCCAGGGCTTTCAGTAACATCGGTACTCAGGGGCAAAGCCAAAGGCAGCACGCATTACAGGGGACAGTTCAAACTGGAAACAGCCAGTCACATGCTGGTAAAGTATTCAATTTGCCTAACAGACCAACCAATTTGGCAGGGAATATATTGTCATCTATTAAAACAGCAAATAGAGTAAGAGTTTATAAGATGCATTTGAATCTTTACAACCAGGTTGATGCATATATTCCCTTCTGCATTGACCATGTCAGTACTACTTTTGGAGTTCAAGGGTAACACTTTAAACTGTGAACACATTGACCTGGTTAGAGGATATCTTCATCCTCTTCAGCAGAGTCTAGAGAACCTGGAGTAGTGGAGGAGGAACTGGGTGGGGGTTCTAAGTTACAATACCATCATATAAGAAATCTTCAGAGTGTGTGATTGAAATCAGTTTTGCTTCAGTGGTTAAAACACTAATTTAGAGCTTATTAGTCAACTTGATTTGCCACAGACCTGCAGTCCAGCATGCAACACTGCTGCACCCACACTCAGAGCCTATTACTGTAATTGGGGATGGTAAAAAAGTAAATGGCGAGCTGCCATTAAGATGCACAAAGTAGAGGAGAGGGTTTAATGTGATGGGTTTTTAGGTCATTTAAGAGAGAACAAACAGAGACACAGCTGCAAGCGCATCTTCTGCACACACCAATTTTCTGTTTGGGACTAATTTCATGGGCACCATGTTGCGCATGCAGTAAAAAATTAAAAAATAAATAACACTTTTTCTGTGATATTCTAATACTGAGCTGATGTTAGCACACAGATGTAAAGTAGAGCCAGTGATAAGATGATTTTTAGGTCAGTTGCAAGTCACTTAAGCCAATTATTGTTTGTAAGAAAGGTCACATGCACATATGCGGTTTAAGCGGAGGTTTAAACATCATCTTGGCCAGGTGCCCCACCACACGTCCACGAGAGGGGAATGGGACTGTTGACCAGGCACAGGTCAGTGAGTGTAGGCAGTGAGAGAATACGTCCCAGACATTCTGGTGCTCGCAAATTTGTGAAGGAGAGAACGCACACCCACAGACTGAGTGATTTGAATGGGGAGCATGAAGCTGTCTGTAGAAACCACGAGTTGACACGTTGTCAAAATTACCTGCTTTTTAACCACAAGTTGATGAGACTATATTCATGCATCTTCTTACTTTTAGTTGGTCAAACAAGATAATTTGTTTTTCTTTTCCTGTGTCCAGTATACATAATTTGAGGTTGAATTTCTACTGAGCAGTGAAAAAAACTAAACTAATAAAGCTACAAAAGGTAATTTAGGGTAATATTTGGACACTACTAATGAAAAATCTCACCAGCTGCTATAATTAGGTTAGTCAATATGCTGTACAGGCCCTTTTGTGAATTTCTGTCACCTGTATCATAAGAATACAGGTGAACATATATTTATTGAAATTTAAACTTTGGCTTAGAAAGAAAGTGTTTTTTTCTTTCTTTGACTGTGATGTCAGATGTACCAGCCTTAAATTATTCCACGGATCAATGAAGCATCCTATTGATAATTCCAAAACCCTCAATTAAGTCCCCTCCGTGTCTCTTAACTTGTCTCAAATATGCCAATCTGCAGAGTCAGTATCAAAGATTTTCTAATAGAATCATAAACACTGTGTGCTCAGATGAACGATAATGAGCGCTGAGGAACATACAAATGGATCATCACAATGACGTCCAGTTCCTGTTTGTACTATGGTACGTCAACGTAGTGTCGCTTGATACTGTAAATGTATGGAAAATGTGTTATGTGATCAATGAAGCGCTATTTTGAGGTCAGTTTCGACGCAGGAAGGCGTTTTTTTTTTTTCGCGATGGATTGCTCTTTAAAAAAAGAAGAAAAAATCCACTGTATGCGCTGCGCGTGCCCGTCTCCATTAAACAAACAATAAACAATCTGTGACCACAGAAGCCAGGGAAACGAACAGATATATGGAAACGTATGAAGGTTTGGTAAAAGGGGAAGAAATCCTCTTTATCTGCTTTAAGATATACACTTTTTCCCCAAGAAAAGTCAAATCGAAGGCGCCGGCCATGAGGAGGGGAACGCTATAGAACGTCATCCGCCAGCTTTCAAGCTAACTGGCTGCCTCCATCTTGTCATCGACACGTAAAAATACCGGTAGCTGGCTAACATTAGGCCCCGGGAACATGCCGGTTTGTCGGAGTGACTCCACGACAATTACAACTGTCAACCATGCAGCTTCTGTTTTGGGGATGGAGCTTTTAAAAAAAGCTTTTTTGTGGGTTTTAACTGCGACGCTGCCGTGATAACAGTCGGTATGGTAATGTTAGCTTGCCGGTAGTTAGCCGCATTGTCGAGCTAGCGCTGCGCTAACACAACATGATTGATGTGAATGTCAAAAACATCTGCTCAAGCTAGCATATAACCAGCGTGAACGTAGCAATTTCTGCTAACAAATGAGCCTCGTCTTACCGTGCATTAGGCGGTTGTCGGGAGCTCCATAATCGTCTCTGTCGTCTTCACTTCCAGACATAGCGGATAGCAGAAAACTTTCTTTTTAGTTAGCTAACAGTTTAGCTAACTAAAAATAAAGTTATTGGGTTGTTGTATAATCCAGAGTTCGAACCGGGTCTGGAGTCCGTCCAAGTCGTGGTTTGTAGTTAGGAGGGAGCAGCCAGCCAGGTTTTACAGGACAAATAAGAAGACCAAAGAATGTGGAAGTGAATTATTATTATCAAAAAGCTTTCATAGCACACAACCCTGTAAAACGAGGGACACCAGCACTCACCACATGTGAGAATAACTCTGACTTTATCAAGTTGGACAGCTCGTAAATTTCAGATCCCTAAGCTCTCACTCCATCTCTGCGTTCAACTGACAAACCATCTCGCCTCTGTCGTTACTTTCCGTCCAGTTAGCATGCGTGCTAACCGAGCAGAACCGGCGGCCAGATTGAGATCTGAGAGGAACTGCAGAAAAACGAGCCCCTCGAACGCTGACATCTACCCATAAAACACTCCAATGTGCCATTCCGAGGGTTCCTCACCCTGAACATCTCACCCTGACTCTGGTCAATTCACAACCCCAAAAACTGAGATACTCACAACTTGGTTCCACACAGCTTCCCAAAAACAGTAACTCCAGGCTCAGTTTGTCACAAAGTCAACACTTGGAGGTGCTTTTTGATTAAGGTAACTGTCTACATACAATTTAAATATATTTCCGTGTTTTTTGTGGTAGCGTGTGCGCACGACGCCGTCTCCTCTTTCTCTTCCTCGCACACCACACACCCCGCGCTCGCGCGCGCACACACAAAGAGATCAGGGGGCAGGCATCCCATAATATCCCCACACACACACTCGCATACATATACACACTTCACTCACCCCTCCCCCACTCTGCATAGTTACCTTGCAACGTACAGACCATAATAGTCAACTCACCCCCCCCCACCCCCCCTCCCCTCTTCTACAGTCTCTTCCCCATTCCTCCATGCACATCACCCCCTCACACACCTCCACCCCTCCCTTAGCAACCACGGTTGCTATGGACACGCTCACCCCTCCCACACCTCTCCTGGCATCCCATAATACTAATGAGTGCAGTCACTGACATCCCACAATAAGCATAACTCCAAAAAGAGAGAGATAGGAGAGAGGAGGGGGGAAAAAAGGAAAAGCGTCACATGGCAACTGTGTGTGCCACATGACTGCTTAACTTGAGAGTGCATGTTTGCATGTATGCGCAGGCACCGTACTGTATGTGAGCGTGGCGGCCGCACAATGTGCACGGGGCACAGATTGCAGAGCGAGCTGGAAACCACCCTCAAAGCACTTTGGGGGTGACAAAATGTGGGGGTGACCCCGGGGTTACCCCCACATTAGGCCTCGTAAGCTCCCACACACTTCAAGTCATTTTTACACGCACCACTCAGCATGGAGGCAACCTCTTGATCAGTCGGCACATGCGAGGGGGCAAGAAGCTTGAAAACGGGGGGAAAAAAAAAACTGGGTAACTGGGTCGCGGCGAGGTAAAAAGTCACGCTTGTCCCTCCGGTTCAGGACAACAATGAGAGGTCACGGAGGTCAGACTGCAGTCAAAACGTTCAAGTCCGCAGCTGCAAGTCCCGCTCAGAAACTGAGCAGAGAGCCCAGAGGTAGAAGCGCCAAGCCAACAGCTGAGTTAAGCTGTCTGCACACTTACACACGCTGGCTTGCTCCACAGGCTGCGAGGAAATGCATTGCAGTCAATGGTGGGAAAAACGTCTGGGGCCTAGACAGCTTTTTCCCACCATTGACTGGCTGTTTTACATTTAGGCTGTGGAGCAAAATGCAGGACTGCTTCCGCTCAGTGCGGCCGAATGGGGTTTCACTCCATAGGAAATCATCTCTTAGGCTGTTTTAGGCCAAGTGGACAATCTGAATAAGTTAATCCATGATTTATAGGCCCGTGGGACAAATTAGATCTGTGGACACAGCACAAAAGTCCTTGAGAAAAGGAAAAACTTGACCATTTTTGCAGGAGGGCATGGTATTATGCTGTATCATATGTTGGAGCCCAGTTGGTGATCATCAGAATTCTCTCGGGTGATTAGGCTCTCGTATTATTCCTAATGGGACAACAGGAGCCTCCTTCACATGGTGGCGAAAAGGAAGACCTGCGATGGTTCAAATTCAATCAGACTTGTCTCTTTTTGAGCCGCTGCTGTCTGCTCAATTTTTTAAATTTTTTTCGCAGGTAGCATTTGTATAATTCATGCAAATACTGAGGGGACACATCATCCAGCCAGTTGATGGTAGAAAAGAAACATTACAATCTCTATTGTGTGTTTTAGTGTCAGACATCAGACATAAGATTGAAAAATCTTAAAAAATCAATTAGACTTAGTTAATTGCTTTTGAAGGTTAATAAGGTGAAAGTGTGCCCACATTATCTTAAATATAGTAAAGAATTTCCCACAAATTAAGCCAGATGTGTTCCAAAAAGGCTCTAAAAAGGCAATTTCCTGACAACATCCTGTTGCTACAAAAAGACGCTTTTATTCTAGATTTTTTTAGAAAGATTGTTCACATGGGAAAAACTTTTACGAGTACTGCCAGTCTCAGGAAGTTAACCTAAGGTCAGTAAAAAAAACAAAACAACAGCTACATCTCAGACTCTGTGGGCAGCAGTTAGCATGCTAAAGGTCAAAGTTCATGACAGGACAATCGGAAAAAGAATGTAAAAGGCACAGACGAAGGTTTGTGAGTCCCTGGAACACAAAATGACTAATCTGTTCTCTGATGTACATGTTATCCATATCAGTCATGTGATAAAAAAAATCTTTGACTCATTTTTGGACATTTGAGCGGGCTTCTCTAAGGGTATCCAGGTCAAATTTCATGCATTCGTCTTTTACATTCCAGATTTGCTGTTTGCAACTTGACCGTTGCCGATCCCGGCTTTGTTTGGGTATTTTGCTATTCATGCATTCATAAAAATCTTTGATTTATCAATAAAAACGGTTTCTCTTTGCCCTTCCAGATCAGAAAAAGAACACTGGATCAAGCCTGAAAGTGTGTGTGTTCACACATTTCAAACATTTGATGAGTTAAACCAGGAAAAGGGGGATTTTGGTGGTCTCTTCCACCGAAAGCGCAGCTGACAGTAATTTCCCAAGGTGAGTGCCTCATTCACTCGTCAAAAATGTCTTCTTGTGGCGGAGTCAGAGTGTTGTTCAGTGGTGACCACTGCAGTGGGATTTATTATGATGTCGCAATGCACACAGCTGTCATTGCATCATTTTCCTGAACGTCAGCTGCATTGTGAGGCTTGTTTTAATCTCTGGAGGATCCTTGAATTGCCTCACAAATTATTAATGTCAGCATATTGTTGCAGTGCCCGAGCTCTTTGGCTTTTAACCCGCTCCGAGCTGTCCTGCTGGGCTTTTGCTCCAGTCCCTCTTGGTCTACATCCCTCTCTGACTCAGCACACCTTCGTTCTGACTCCCTTTCTTTTCCTTTGTGTCCGTACTCCTGAATCACTTCATCCTTCATGCAGGGACAGACATAAAAATGGCTTAGAAACAAGTTGGCTGTCTTTCTTTTCTTTCCATTTCTGCCTACCCCCCCTCCACCCCCCCCCCCCCCCCTTCTTTTTTTCTTCCCCCCTCCCCCACACATCTCTTTTCCTTGACTATGGACACAGTGTTCATGTGTGAATTTGGAGAGAAGAAGGTGGGGGGTTATAGGATGAGGGGGTATGGGTGGGTAACATCCCATAATCACCAATCAGAAGGATACTGGGGGCAGTTGTCATGGAAACCCTGTGCACAGCTCTTGACGCCCCTCCCACACCTCAATGCCACTTGCAGAATTGCATATCTCATAATGATAATATCATTTTTGAGGCAAAAAGGAAAAAGGAGGAGGTGGATGTGGAGGTGTGGGGGGGGGGGCTACAGACCATAATAGTGCTCCTGTGCTGCTGGTCGTCATGGAGATAAGCAGAGGGGTGGCAGTGGTGGCGGAGGGAGGAGAGCTACAGGCAGGGTCAGATTACCATGTAAGTCAAAATGCATACCATAATAGTTCTTGTCTTTGATCTGCGTCAACTTGTCTGTCCTATATGATAACCTACAGGAACTCGGGGTGGGGGTGGGGGGGCTCACATCTTCAATTATTAATTGTTTGAAGAGGTTATGAAAAACTTCAGCTCTTTTCCTTTCCGCCAGTAAGGTCTATGGCAGGTATTCTCCTTTGGAATCAGGTCTGGATGGGCTGAAAAGCTTTGCAGGCATCACTGAATAAAGGGCGTGACAACCATGTGGGTAAACGGTGTGTGGGGCGTGTCACACAGTTGGAGTTTCAATGTTTCGTTGCATTCGCTCGCAAAAACAATGCGCTTGATTAAATCCTCCATGCAGGAGTGATCAGTCCAAACATACAGGAAGAAGGCAAAACAACCCGGGAGGGGGCCACCATCTGGGCCAGGTTGAGGGGCAGAGTTTGATGCCTCCCTAAGTTCCTGGTGTCTGCTCCTGCTCCCATCACAAGTTTCAGCGCAGCACAGCCACAGATCGACTGGTCCCCTTACACAAAACCAGAGAAAGTCTGGAATCTGATCTTGTTTGGATAAAAAAGACAATCTGTTTTTCTGTGTACCCGTGACCTTACGAATGTGTTACTATGACAACCAGTCCTACTACTGTTTTGGAGAACTGAGAAATCTGAATCATCAATAATTGAATAATTCAAATCTTTTTACTGTCATAGTTTACTGCATTAAAATGTTAGGATGCGCTACTTGATTCAAAGCCTCAGGCTGATGGGTGCAATTATTTTAGCGACGATTAAAAAAGAAGTGGTGTTGAAGATTAAAGTGTGGTCTTCAAAATAAAGATCATCTTATCTCCTCTGTTCAACCTAAACAGCTAAACGATCCCAGATCATTGCCTCTTTAATTGCGTTTGAGCTGTAAAATCAGCTTGTCACTTGTCTGTTGTAATAGTTTTTTTCCTTTTTTTTCCCTTTCCTTTCCTTTTTTCTCTCTCGTTTTTTCTCTTTTTTTCCCCCTTTTTTTTCTGTTGTAATAGTTGTGCGCCCTCTTCCTGGTCATGGTTTCCCTACTCCCAGAGGGACAGTGTGGGAACAACATTCATCCCGGTGGAGAGAAAAAAAAAATCCAGTTGTGACAGGCAATTTTGCAGCTATTTTACGAGCACGTTTGAATCAATGAGAGGCAGATCAACAGCTCCCACATCATGTTCCATAAAAATCTCTGTTGTCTAGCTCGCGCGAGGACGGCTTAAAGCATCTGCAGCGGCTCAGACAATAAACAAGGCGAATCCAGATGCAGACTGCTCCATCGCTGCCTCAGTCATTTACATTACAGGGAGGACAGGGGGTGTATTGTGCTTACTGTTTCGGCCCAGATAGTTTGCCAGTGAAGTTTTTCTTTCCTTTTTGATGAATTCCCAGCTGCCAATCTGCCTTTGTGATGCCTCCCCTCCCGGGTCTGCCTACCTTCTCGTGTCTGAAGATAGATATTATTTCCCCGACATGTATAGTCTGTGCACGTCGGGCTGGGATGTTGACGCACGCGTGGAGGGGTGTGGGGGAGACGCCACGCACAAAAACAGGCCTAGGCCAGACCGCGATGCCCCCTCCCCCACCTGACAAAGCAGACATCCCATAATATGCATTTTGCCTGCCCCCCTCACCACTTCCTCCTCCTCCTCCTCCTCCTCCTCCTCCTTTCTTCACTACTTGGCCTGCCACTCCATAATAAACTAATTCCCTTTCTCACTCTATTGCTTCTCTCTCTCTCTGTGCCCCCCTCTCCCCCACCCCTGCCACCAACATCACTTCCTGTCTCAGAGGCTCCAGTAGAGCTCAGTACAGTACGCCTCTCCAAACGGGCAGTCACTTAAAGAGGCTCGAAATATTCAGGCTTCTTGTTTGTGACGTCTGCGCCGCACTCCGTCAAGCCGGGGTTCCTCTTGCGCCTCTCCCTCCCACAGACTTACAGATCAGCAGAGATACAGGCCAACACAAGGTGCAGCTTGTTTATGTGGTTTGAAAAAGGGTGACTCACGCTCCCCTTTTTTTGTCACTATGGGAAATATGCCATCTTGTTGCTAACAGACTTATTATCCCACTGTGTTCAATCTACTGGCAGTCTTAGGCCTGTGGTTCTCAAAACGGGACCTCACGTATAAAAAGGAAGTTAGTTTAGATCCCAATTGTGACTTGAAGTAACTAGATTTGACATAAGAATGACCTTTCCAACAAGTAATATCGAGACAATGTAAAAGTGTCGCGAACAGAGATATTCTGAATTAAACTGTGTGAGGAGTTAAGCTCCTGTATCTAGGATGAGTTGAATTGAAAACAAAATGCATGTGTTAAATAAGAAATGAGTTTGGGTCATTTGCTTGGCTTGAGCAGCATGCAGATGTGTGCTTCTGCCCACTGCAGGGCAGCGTGTTTGGCTTCAGCCGTCTGCTGTCACAAGTCACGTCCTCCATAAGATCTGCTTTTCTTAATTGTTCATTCACAATTTTTTATTAGATATTAATTGAATTTGCATTTTAAAATAGTTAAGGATGAAAATTTCAGGAAATAATTTTTTAGAAATTTCCATGATGCTCTGAATGATGTGCACTTTAGGACATGTAAAGCCATCACACGTGGCCCTCTTTTCCGGAGGACGTTCCATTTGACAGTGATGTATGAGTCTGGGTTCAAACAGAATGAGACAGGTTTTTTTTAACATGTCTGAATGCGGTTGCCTGCAAAGTTGATAAGCTACAAATGCTTGAGTTTAAGCAATGAGATGACACAAGCAAAACAGCTTCCGTTGAATTTGGTGTCACGTCATAAAGAAGTGGAACCAGATTTGATAATTTTTTTATGATAGAAGTGGAATTGCACATCATTCTTTGATTAAAAAGGCCGTAACTGAAAGTCTAAATGTTCAGCTAAAATAAAAATGTTACTATTCTACTCCTATTTTTCTTTTGGTTCAATATTACCATTATATAGTTTATATTTCCACAAGGGCTTGTCAAATGGCCTTACACAGTTATTTGGTGATCAGGATTAAGTGAAACAACAAGTAATAAGTAGTATAAGTATAAGTATAAAAACATGTTTGAGACATATTTTCAAAATCCATGAAAATGAAGTCCAAGACTTAATGTACAAGTTAGAATATATTGCTATTAAAGTTTTTACAATCAATTAAAAAATATATATTTTTCTTTTGTGCTGGGCTACAACTGTACTGTATTCATTTGGCATTTCATTTGGTAAGCTCTGACTTGAGATGACCTGAATCATGATCGGAAAACAACCGTATCATACAAGAAATTCCGCAGTCAAGCAGATCAATTCGGCACGGTTTCATCAAATATTAAAGCTGGGCTAGACTTGATTCCAAATTCAAGTCTCATTAGTGCCGATTAGATGCAACTGTGTAAACACTCTAGTCACTGGTTTAGACTAATGGGGCTTTTATGACCCTAATTAAGGTGATGGCAAACTGTCCATCTTTTGTCTGATTGTGGATGTAAGAGTTCCCTGAGATCACCAACATCCAGTCCGGCTAAGTCAGATCTTTGTGGTTATGTCTCTTCCATCAGAATTTTTATCTTAAATTCTCGATATGATTGAGGTCAGAAACTGTAAATGGCTTTCTGACTAGATGTAATTACATGAGAGCATTGCATGGTTTGCGTGCGATGCTCTCATGTCTGCTCAATGCTCAAAACCACTCCGCTACTTAAAAACTGTGAACTGTGTTGTGTCAAGTTCTCCTTTCCCTCATCCCTTATTAGTTCTCTGGACGATGTATGCATTTTTGGCCACCTGTTTAAGAGGTTTTACACCAAAAACGATTGAGCGATTACATTTGAGGTTTTCCACTGCAGAACTACATCCATCCATAATTCAGCTTTTGCTGTCAAAGAACATTTAAACCGACTAAAGAACGTTGGAAAGAACAGCATGATCTGCCAGTGATTTCATCTGCAAAATAAAAGGGAAAGCCAAAGCCCAAAAAGATAGACTCAGGTTGCCGAGAGCTTTGGGTTATGCCTCATTAACTCCATACAGTCTTATTTCCTGGTTTATTCTCATTATGATGCTTCAAGCAGGTCATTAGTTTGTAAGCCTGTCAGTTGGTTATCTCAAAAACAAACTGATGGATCTCTCATTTAGTCAGCTAACACGGCAAGGTTATGCTGTAAATTACCCCCAATGCATCAACTGCTACTGTGTTGTCAGATACGCTAAACATCAGACTTTTACATATTTATTGTGGGGTTATAGTCATTTAATGTTGTGTCTTAGGCCATATGGCGTTATTACACCCAACCATATGAAAATTTGTCCCCAGACTGAAGGCAACATACGAACATATGTGTGTGTGTGTGTGTGTGTGTGTATGTATATATATATAAATCTTCAGAAACCCCAATGAATGGACAACAACTTAGCTGGTAATGCCAGATAGCATAGCTGGACATAAACATTGGGAGTAAAAAAGTGAGATTGTGCCTTAAACCCCTTCTTACTCATGTTGGGTTTATCAGACCTGAGCTTTGGCCTCATGTACCCAGAGTGATGAGCTGGGGCATCGTCTACTGTAATATGCCTCCAAATCCACAGAACGAGGATGAGGCAGAATGAGGAAGACCCAAATGGGCCTCATCTGGAAACACCTGCAGTCAAATAGAAACAAGGATACAGAGATATTGTATCTCGTCTGTCCTTCGACCGGACTCTCCAAGTGAAAGCGTTGAAAGTTTTTGGCCACACAGCGCATTGCAGCTCAATGTTCTGAAGACGTGCGTCTCAATTAAAACCACCAAACCTCTCAAACACCAAGACTCCAGACAAAAGAAGCTGACTGTGAGCGGCATGGAGAAACTTCCCAGTCCGCCTCAAAGGCCTGCATGGGAGCAGACAAGAGCCGCCATTTTATCTTACCTTCTCAAAGAAAAAAAAGAAAAAAAAACACGCATGCACGGTTTCACTCTCTCATGCACTTATTATATGCTCGCACACCCGTGCAGATACACAAACCCATCCCCCACCCAATCCAATTCTCAACACACACATGCAAACACGCGCTCCTTCCCTGCAACACCCTGCACACACCAAAACACGCATATACCTCCCCCTCACACGCGTATGAACCCCCCCCCCCCCCCCGTCCACGCACACATTTTTGAACACACTGACACACACACGCCCTGCTCCCCTCCCCCCTCCTGTTCCATACCAGGGCACATCGTGACAAAACAAAGAACACCCCATAATAGTCGGAGTCGCACTGTATGCATGGTAACCAGTTATGTCATGAGATGAAGGCTCGGAGTGTGTGCGCTTAACTGTACTGTATATATGAGCACGCACACACGCAGACACACAAAATTACAGGCTAACATTTTAACATCCACACACACAACACAGCTGCATGTACACACCCACACACACTCACTAAAGAACACTCTGTATAAATAATGACATATGCGAGCAAGAATATGGAGGTAGAGGAAAGAACTCAAAGTAGACAAAGAAAAATGCAAGGTTCAGTATGTGAGTGAAACACAAAAAAGAAAGGGAAATTCAGTAAAAACACCAAACAAGCAGAGGCAACTATATATATATATATATGTGTGTGTGTGTGTGTGTGTGTGTGTGTGTGTGTGTGTGTGTGTGTGAGTGTGTGTATACATCTTTATACATCTCACCGATTAATAATCGTTGTTGTACATTGTTGTAACATTCCACACCACAAAACAAACACAATGGTCAGGCCAGAAACAGACAGCAATGTTCCAATTTACCCTCACGCTCACAGACACACACTGACAGGATTAAAACACAGCTAACACAACTTAAAACAACATGCAATAAATGAATAAATAAATCATGCCACAAACACATGACAATGAAAACACAAAAGAACAAACAACTGAGCTAAAAAAAAAGTTGAGTGCTGGTTCTAAATCTTTCACATACAGTCTTTAGCAAAAAAAACTACTAAAACACAAGACATCTTATGATTAAATATGTTAAAAACAGATATTGGCCATATGTACCACAAATGCCACAAACTTTTCAAGTTGTTGTGTCCTTATTGTGTGACTGGCGTTTTGTGTGAATGTGTTTCTGTGGGTTTTCGTCTGTTTGTTTATCTGTGTGTGTAGTTTACTTGACACACACACATAACACTGATGTTTTTTAACAAAAACACGCATGTTGTGCGTTTTCAGTATATTCAGTGACAAAAAATGTGTTTTCCAGTGTTTTGTATCTTTGTTTAACAAAACGTGCGTGTGGCTGAACGTGTGCACGTATGCGCATGCACGCATGTGGGCGCCCTTCAACTGAAGAAAAAAAAACAGGGAAATAGAGGGAGAGGTCAGGTTTCAGTCCCATAATGCAACTCTGTCTCATCCATCACCCCCCCTTGTCTACATGATGGTTGCCCATGGTAACATACTTTTAATGAGGTCAGATGGACATCCAATAATATTCTCCAGCCAAACCAATAGACAGCAACAAGCGAGGTGCTCTGGGACGGACAGCAGTCAAAGTGTCAGACACAGAACCAGCAGCAAGACAAGATGGCCGCCACGTAAACACAATAAGTTGGCAACTAATCATCAAGGGGCCAAAATCAAACCGGAAACTCACCTGAAAACAATCTACCGCTGTTCTGACTTTGACACAAACCTCGTCTCACCATTTTAATTAAAAGGTTTAGGGCCCATATGAAATTTGAGCTCATGACTTTTGTCAAAACGTTGCCGAGCATTCATTTGGTCATAAAAAAAGCTTCAGTCTGGAGGAATAGATAGCTCATGTTCACAGTATTGGCTTAAATACTGAGAAAAGTTCCGCGTTTTGATCAGGGCTCAGCGGGGATTCCCATCGAATCAGATTGATTGTCAGTGTCCTACATCACAAGCCAGTTCTTGACACAAGCAGAATGGAGCTGAGCGGCTTGGGATGGACAACAGCAGTATCAAAAATCTGCATAATTTGTGACAATATTCTTTAATTCTACCACAAATGAATACTGTTTTGGTTAAATTAGGAATAGTTTTATGCCATGACACCATCCAGATTTTGTGACGTCTGGTCAGGAATCCAAAACTCAGATTTAGACTAAAAAACCAGAGGATGGTCATCTCTCTGACCAAGATAATCATTAGAAAAAGATAAATAAACTAACTCAGTGTTACAATTTCTGCACAGGTGACTGAAACACCAAAATACAGCTTGGTCAGAATAAATAGATAATCACAGGTTTGATGGATCTGAATGTCCCAACAAGCAGCAGAATAGACCAGAAACCCAATTTAATGAAACACAGATCACTATTGAAAGCGTACAATGAGTTACAGTCTCATTAATGAGTTGATTTTTGGAATTTGTGGACATTTTCAGTCAAACTTCCAACCAAACTAATTAGATTATTTTCAAATGAGGACAGCTCTGTAAACATACTCTCATGTGGAGCCCCAGAGGACCTACACATACAACAAGCTTTAGAGGTGGAGACAACTGTTAAAAAAAGAAAGGTAAAGAGAGGAAGTTATTTTGTTTTGTCTGCTTTGTAATTCTGTAAAATTTGAGCAAACATATGAATTGTGTCTGAGATTTGCGTCCGGGCGTAAAGAAGCTGTAAAAACTGTATCAGTATTAAATCATGCTTAAAAGAAAGCTGACTCAAGCGTTTGAAAAGCAGCTGGAAGTGTTAAAATACAAAAAATAAAACAAAAGAAATTAGGAATGAAGATGTCAAGAGAAGTGGAAGAAATAAAAAGGGTCAAAGGCAAGAAGATGAAAGCAGATGCGAGATGAGGATGTGGTGCGTGAAGAGTTAATTTTTTGGGCAGGAAGAGTTGAACCCCCCCCCCCCCCCCACTCCATTTTGTTCACAGTCTGTCACTGCATCCCTCAGACAAAGGAAGGACCAGCTCTAAGCCTCCATGCCATCTCAGTATGAAGGATCCATTTTAGTCTGCCAATCAAAATGAGCCCAGGCCATTTACATATTGTATCTAAAGAGGCTCACTCAGAAACAGCCGAGCAGCTCCTCCTAGTGGTCAACGAGGACTACCGGGGACATCAGTGTCAGTCGGCATTTTTCATTTCAAGCGTGAGCAAGATACATTTCTTCAGAAGTTTTTTATTTCATCTGCATCAGCTTAAAAAAACTTTGAATAACTTCCCTATTCCCTCTAAGTATAACAAATTAAAGCTACAAAAAAAGAAAAACACAAAATAATTGTTCAGTATTGAAGTCCAGTCCAACTTCCCCATCCAGCTGTTTCTGTACCTTAAATGTTTCCATTTGTCCGTTTTTTTTTATTCATTAGGGCTTCAGTCAAGCTGTTGATAAAGCTGTTTTCATATTCTCCTCCCCTTTTTCTTCTTTGCGCATCTACAGGAGGACACAGCCTTTTTTGAGTTTGCTGGATTTGGACTTCAGAGCTGTGAATGCAGCCTCCTCAAAAACCTCATTCACACTTTTCTGAGAACAAGAGAAAAGAGACACAGGTGAGCTTGATTTCTACCTTTGAATAAAGAGAAACCAGGATTTAAATGGTTTCCTTCAAACTAAAAGCCCCTTTGATAATAATCAGTCATTATTAATATATGTAGGCACCCAAGTCAGTTTTTTTATTGATTAAAAATGGAAACACACTTTCCCTGCCCTCTGTACCTGTATGAGAGCTGTACACTCCATGTATTTGACAGCATTGAGCTTACGGGCCATTTCCACTCCTCTCTCATAGGTCACTGGTTGCTCTTTCTTCCTGGCCAGTTTCTCCAGAGTGCTTCTGTCATCTCTCTGTTCCATCTGAGTCCCGACCAGCAGGAAAGGTATTCCCGGGCAAAAGTGGGAAATCTCGGGAACCCACTGCGAAAACAGAACAGAATCACAGGGAAAAGAGTCACTGTGCCGATTTTTTACATTTAAAACTTCAGCTGTTCTCCAAAACGAACAACAGAAACAAACTCTGCACCTTTTCTCTGACGTTCTCAAAGGTGGAAGGGATTACGATGGAGAAACAGACGAGGAAGACATCAGTGTGAGGGTAGCTGAGGGGTCGTAGTCTGGTGTAGTCATCCTGTCCTACAGGGTGAAGACACACAAATATTCAGGAGTAAACTTAACTTAAAGTTACATCGAGGAGATGAAATTATATGTCAGCTGGTTTTACTACCGAAATGATTGCTCTGATATCTGGATGATACTTTAAAAACTTTTGACTGGATTACATGATATTTACCAGATGGACTTCATATAAATGGTGCAACCTCCTCACATAAAATAATCATTTAATAATCTTTTATGAGTTACACAATGTTTTGGACTTGAAAAGACTCTGTACTCGTTTGTATAATTATGGGAAACATTATTAGAAAAGATTACATAAATTTCCTTTTTATAGTGATGAGATCCAGCTCTATTTCACTGAATGGCGGGCTTGAAGGTTTGAATGTAATTCTCTAATATTTTATCTCAGACATTCTCTTAACAACCATCTCGTCCATGTGGAAAGTGTTTTTTTTTGTTTTTTTTTGGGCTTACAGGAAGTTACTGTGAGGAACCTTGGGGCAGTTTTAGCAGGATGTTTCTTTTTATTCACAAATCAAAAAGGGTTTCAGGGGTTTCAGCCCCCTCAGGATTTAGTAAGCATTGATTAATTTTACCTGCAGTGTCCCACAGACACAGCATGTATGGCACCCCGCCAATCATCACCGTCACAGCATAGTCTGTGAACACCTGAGGGGGACAGAAAGGGAGATGAAACATGGCTTGGATACAAAGAGCCAGCACCCAATTGGTTTAAGACCACTGCTGGAATCCCATTTCTTATTTACAGTTCTTTTGAGTGAATGAACACTTTTATTAACAAAGTCAATGTCTCATTAATGTATTTTACATTATATATGCTTTTAATTCAGTTTTCTAATTCGGAGGTGATTCACCATGGGGATGAACTCAGTTGGAGAATCCAACATGTAGGAGGTGTAGGATACCAGAAGCTTGGTCTTCTCAGCTGAACTGTCACCGACCACCACCAGCTTTATTTGCTCCATCTACAAACAAAAAACACAGAAAAACGGGTAGATCGGTGAGTGCAAAGCAGGAAGGTGTAAAAAGAAAAACCTCCCTGTAGACAAGAATAGGCCTGTGTAACGGTTTTAATCAATGCAAAATTAAATATCCATCAATTGAATCCCCTGGGAAGGACTAAAGCCGAGGGACATGTCCTTCCACCTCATCACTGGCTCCTGGTTTGGGGCATTTTGCTGCGTCAGCATTCTGCTGAGCTCTGACGGGTCAGGGACCAGGTGGTCATGGTCTGCGGCGACGGTGACACTGATTACATCGGGAGACTTTCAGATTCCAAACAACTCCGTGGGACATTTTCTCATTCCAGATGTTCATGTGTTTTACTCGGGCACGACTGACCTCCCCTTTCTGTGTGGAGTTTGGATGTTCTCCCTCTGTCCGTGTGTGTTCTCTCCATGGACTCCGGCTTCCGCCCATTGTCCAGAGACGTGCATGTTAGGTCAATTGGACACTCTAAATTGCCCCTAGGAGTGAATGAGAGTGTGTGCGCTTGTTTGTCTCTGTGCGGCGCTGCGATGGACTTGTAGGATGGGGCTGACCTTTCTAAAAACTTTAATCTTTGCCTTCTCGACTGCCTTTAGGAGGCAAGTTTAAAGAAAGGCTGTTGTATTTGTTGTATTGGGATATTATAAATGAGAATTTAATATTTTTCAGCCATTAAACAATGATTAGATGACATAGAAAATTAAATAAAAAGGGTTGATGTAAGAAACCTGAATATATTGAACGTGAACAAGTAAAGATGTCTGTCAAGTACTGTGGTTTAATTCAAAGGAATCACATATAAATAAATAAAGTCGGATCAGCTTCTTGCGCTCCAAGACGCTTCTGATTTTCAGCCACTTCCGCTTGAAGAAAGCAAAACGAAACTAAAATGGACTTTGCCAAAGAACATGATTGACATATCCTGTAAGAACATCTCTTTGAATGACTTACCGGTAAATGTTTAAATATTTAAGGAATTTCTTTAACCAGCTGCCAGCTCAGGCTGTTTCGATAAATAGTTTAAATAGCTTGTGGCGAATAGCCCTCCCAGGGTCCGCCCTCAGAGGTGTCGTGCAGAGGATTTATCCCCGCAGGAATTACGGCCCCTGACGCGAGAGCGCGCACTCACACGCGCACTGTCACGCGCAAACGGTTTCCTCCAAATTCCAGACAAAAAGAGCAGTATGTTGGTTTTTCACAGCAGTAATTGGGTATACTGTATACCCTCTATTAAATCAAAAGGGGCTGACAGTAAGATGGAATATAAGATATAAATAGAGGGGATAGCATTTTTGACAAGATAACAGAAGAACATTTGCTACATTTACCAGAATATTGCAAAACCATGTGGCGTGTACAACTCATCACCTTTCTCTTTTTAGTAAACTTGTTGCTTTTTTCAACAGATGTTAGTTGTAACATCTGTTCACAGGTTATGCACAATAAATGTAAGAGGGATTGTTGTAAAAAAAAAAAATGAAAAAAGAGATAGTATTAAAGATTAATTATTTTGAAGAGTGAAATTGAGGATGATGTAATCAAAGACGTACTTTGAGTGTCTTAAGTGTTTAATTATCTCTGTAATGATTTAGATTCCGCCATCTAGTGTATCAGGTGGTTTTTATTTATTTATCTATTTACCTGACACGGGTTAAAAAAGGAGAATTTAAAGTTTTCTTTCAAGTTAGAAATAAAGAATGATTGATTAACAGGACAGCAAAGAAAACGTCTTCATGGAAGTGCTGTATTCAAGAAGTTTATTGGTTTAATGTCAAATATAAACAAGATAAATATTAACTTAGAAATGCTAAAAACTACTTGTTTTCAAGGACTATCGACAGATTATATTGCTTCTTTCTTCAAACTGTTCAAGACTTGCGTCGAAATGTCCTCATTGAATAATTAAAGCTAGAAAATTATAAATATAACAACCATTGATTTAAAATGAGGGCAGTTAATCAGACGTAATGAGAGCCACAAATGATCTAAATGTACGTAAACGTTGAAGAGCGAGTTTAGAAAAAGACTCAGCTCGGTTTAAAAACGGAACCTGAATGTTAGACTGTGATCGAAGCAAGAAGCTAAGCTCACAACCCAGTTAAAATAGCTGTTTTGAAATTCTTCTGCTTGTTCCCCTCCTGGCACCTACAGCAGGACACAGGATCTGCTGCGTTTGAGCTTCAGAGTCGCACGGACAGCCTCCTCAAAGACATTGTCCAAACTTTTCTGAGAATGAAAAAAAAAGAAACGTTGATGAGCTTCATTTCCACAGCTGAACACAGAGACACCTAAGAGGAAATAACAGACACAATCATAAACATAACCACAATTCACCTCGCTTTAGAAATTACATAAAAATGGAAAAGTTTGACAGTTTGGAATCAAGGCGTGTTTCTGGCTCCTCTCTGAGCACTTTGTCCATCAACTTCCTGTTTCCTACAAGAATGTTTTTAAGATTTTCATATCTAAACATTTAAATAACTAAATTATCGACCTTCTCATATATGAACAATTTGCCTCTTTGATGACCTGTGTCGTCCGACGGGTCTTCAACATGAGATGTCCTGTTTATAACAAAATTAAACGATTAATTTATCCCCCAGGCCGTTAAAATATCTTCTGTAATATCTTTGGCTTTAGTTGTATGACATTTTTCATAAATATGTTCTGAAGTTCAGTCAGATCCAGATGGGTCCACACTTTCCCCGCCCGCTGTACCTTCATGAGAGACGAACACTCCATATATTTGAATGCATTGAGCTCAAGGGCCATTTCCACTCCCCTCTCATAGGTCACCGGTTGCTCTTTTGTCCTGGCCAGTTTCTCCAGAGTGCTTCTGTCATCTCTGAGCTCCATCTGAGTCCCGACCAGCAGGAAAGGTATTCCTGGGCAGAAGTGGGAAATCTCGGGAACCCACTGCGAAAAAAGAACAGAATCACAGAGAAAAGAGTCATAGTTCCAAACTGAATGTAACTACTTTGATGATTTTGACATTTTAAATTTCAGCTATGTTTCTATTCCCCAAACGAACACCTTTTCTCTGACGTTTTCAAAGGAGGAAGGCGATATGATGGAGAAACAGACGAGGAAGACATCAGTCAGAGGGTAGCTGAGGGGTCGTAGTCTATCGTAGTCTTTGTGCCCTTCAAGGTGAGGAGAAATACTTTTGAGCTAAACTCTGAAATATAAAATCTGAAGTGATATAGAAGAGATGAAACCTTTGTCATCAAAGCCTTCTTTTGGATTGCAGTAAGTGACTGGAAGGAACCTTGGAGCCACCCCCACCCATGATTTCCCTTATCGTTTATAAATGAAAAGACTTATCACCACTTTATCCGCAAAATAAAAAAGCACATTTTTCATAATGTACGAGTTGCTTCATAACCGTTTGGATGCTTTATTTTCTTTGATTGATCTCCATTGCTCTTCTGAATATTTTTGTGTTCAACCTGTGTTCAAAGATGGAATAAAAATCAAGCTGAGAATTTAATTTATGCTTTGAATCCTTTTTACATGCCGTGTCCCACAGTCCCAGATTGTATGGCTTCCGACCAATCATCACCGTCACCATACAGTTATCCATCACCTGTGTGACAGAACACAAGATGAGAAAAATCTGTTGAAAAACAAGTGTTGAGGAAGTGGGAAAAAATTAAGTTAATGGCACCAAGGCACCATGAAGTCTTGTTAACACATCGTCAGCCCTGAAAGGAAGAGATGCATTTAGTCACACTTTTTGGCTTTTCCTAAGTAGCTGCTGAGGTGGGTGCGTTTCAAATAGTTTGTGTTTGTAGAGGTGATTCACCCAGGGGCTGAACTCAGAGGGAGATTTGGACGTGAAGTACATGTAGGAAATGAGCAGCTTGGTCTTCTGTGATTCTTGGTCCCCAACGGCCACACACTTTAAAGTTGCCATCTGCCGATGAAAAATACAGAAAACTGAGATACAGTGATAGTTATAGTAACTATTACTTAATTATGTAGACAGAATTTTTGACAGTCATTAAATAATTAGCAAATAGCATAATCATAACGACAATAATTATAATGATGATAATGATTATAATTTCAGTTTTAGTAAGGAAACATTCAACCATTGAAAATGTGATCAAACTCGGCACTCATTCTGTATTTCACTTTTTCAAAAAAAGAAAACGTGATATATTTACACATATATTCTAATATATGAAAAAGGTTTAATTTGTCAAAGCTGGAGGTGGAGATAATATATATATATATAAGTACTTGTCTAACAAGTTTTTTTTTTTAAATGAATCCCATTTATGAAAGTCGGTCACTTCCTGTTGCCCTGGTCTGATTTTCACTTCCACAGAACACAAATGAACAAACCTTCTTCCCAGAAATGATGACGCAAAAACCTGCTGGGATGTTTTTGAATCACTCACCGTCAAATATTAAAAGTGTTGGGATATTTAGTCGACCAGCAACGCTGGGCTAAGTTAGACTCAATCATGTGAACAGTTTATGACAGCTGCCCATGTTAAAGTTTAACCCCTGTCCACTCCAACAGAGCCATTCTGATAAATTAGGTGACTGTACAGACGCCTGATCAAAACACTGATGAAGAAGCACCGTTTACAAAATACTCAGAAGATGTATCTGATTAAAAGTCTGCTTGAAAAAGGCTAGACTAGAAGGGAACTGCCCGTCGATTGATATTTAGGAAATTATTCAATTAAATGAAAGAAAATAGCTCCCATCCGGGGTTTGGCCTCTAAGTCCCTAACCAGGTGACCGTACCTTTCTTTGTCACACTCAGACGGTGAGAGGCAGCAACAAAAAAAGAAAAGAAAACTATAAAACTATAGTCAATATGACTGATAAGGTGTACCTCACATCTGTTCCATAAACATTAAAGGGATTATTACCATCTTTATAATTATTGTTAAAAGTAATACAATAATTTGATTTATTACTTTTAACTATAGAAATGCGTATTATAAAGCCGAAGGCATGTTTTTAGCGCTTTTTGATGTTAAATTCTCTTTTATTATTTGGACTGCGCCATCTAGTGTTTGAGGTGGGTTATTTCATCCTTTCCTTGGCGCGACAACTTATTCTAAAGGAAGAGCCCAAATTCATTTCAGACTGTATTTGATGATATTTGAATTACATTTCTTTTGACATCTTGAATTTTATAAAGATTGAATATAGCAATTACAAGAGAAAACAAAGTTTGAATTTTCACTGTAAATGAAGTCTTGATTTAAACTACAACTGTCTGGTTGACTGAAATGATCTTATCAAAACATTAGATCAGTTAAAGCAAGTAAACGTGCACAAAATCATGCGTTTTTATCCATGAAAAGGAGAGAATGAGAAGAATAAAACAATCCTAACCCTAATCAGGCAACAGGCAAAAAATCATATGACAGGAAAATGTCCTGGATAAAGTTAAGGTGAACAAATGTGAAAAAAACATTCAAATATTATTCTTTTATTAATTCAAAATATCCACCACTTCCAACATTCAACTTTCAATACAAAGCAGAATTTTCCACATTTGTAATTATTGCTTCAGATATATAATTTGTCTTTGCCCTCGAAGCTCATCATCTGGGATTTGTAGTTTGTCAAACCACGGCGGTGACAATCGGGCCAACTGTTGACACTTAACCGTCAAGAAAAAAAAAAAATCTAAAGAGAAAAAAAATGTTTTCAATATCTTAAAGGAATGATTTTCCCCCAAGAAACAATAAAGAGCAAACTGTCTATATAATACTTGGAATCATCCATAAATGATCAGAATAAACCACCAACAAAAGATTAAGTAATTGTAAAAGAAATGGCCTCTGTTTATTTGAGGGACAAATACAAGCAGGTTAAGGTCTGAAATAGCTTCCTGGGCTCAGAACAGTCCATATTGGAGAACATTAAAACTAATCTTTAGATGCTCAGCTTGGCAAAAAGACTTGAGAATGATGAACAAAGTCACGAGGCTCTTTGAACTGTAGTAACTCTTTTCAGTCTTTAGGTTAAAGAGGCTGGACTTAAATTCCTGACTCCAATGGCTCTGAATGATGGATTGTCTTAATCTGAGGTGGCAACAGCAATATAAAACAGACCCCGCGCAGCCTTTTAAAAACATTTTATAGAACTGTTGACATTGTGGACTCAAGTTCCAATTCTGAGGTTTGTTTATGTCCTCAAACACGGAGTGAGTCCACGTTTGGCCAAAGAAACAACACAGAATAAGCTTTTAAGTGAGCGGCTTTCTCCTTTAAGACAGATTGGAAGTCTGAAACACCAACGAGCTCCAATCAGGGCATAGGAGGAGTGAATGAAACACAAGAAGGGCTGCGAGTCGTTTGGTCTTTGGCTGCCACTACTCTAACAGGGTAAACTTAGCTCAGTAAATATGTGCATAACCAGATAATTAAAAACAAATTAAGCCTTGCATAAAGTTGGACGAAAACGCTTGTCACTGTGTGGGTTTTAAACACTCGATTATTCCATATTGTTTAAGGCATCTGCAGATGTGTAAGGCTAATAAAACATCCAGAGTGATACACAGAAATAAAGCCACTTAAAAAAAAAAAAAAAAAAAAAGACATTGAAACCTGCAACACGGCGCAGACGCAACTGAATAAGCCTGATCTGCGGAGAGATTCGTTTTTATTTTAAGGCAAAAGCGAAAAGCTGTCAGGCGTTCTCAGAGATGTGAAGCTCATCGTTCCAACAGGGAAGAGAAAGCCCCGGCTTTAATGGGCCGCCTACGCCGGGCTCTTTGAGGACAGCGGCAGCCTCTCATAAACAACTGGGGCTGTTTGGGTTCAGGATGCGATGAGGTGTCGGGAAAGAGAGAAAGCTCCAGTGCCTTTGGAGGAGAAGACGTCCGTGCACGCGAACGAGCGCGATTCCGTTTTGATCCCACGGGATTCCTTGGGTGAAAACGCCTTCTCCGGTTCTTCTTCCAAACGGTGGCCGGAACGGTGACGAGAACAGAAGTTTTGCTACGCTGCTCTCATAGTGAGGATTTTTGCAGATATACATGCAGGCACAGGTAAAGGAGTGCACGAGAGCACAGTGCGAATGTAGCCTAAAGGGAAAGCGGGAGGTATTCTTTAATAGAAGAATTTAGATAAAAGCAGATACAAGAGGCCCCTGATTGTTAATTATTTGACACACAAAGCTACAGATGATTCCTCCTGTTGGTTTAATCATGATCATTTGATCAGTGCCACATTGATTCCTAAAGCTCAAATTTGTTTTCTTCTTACTCATGCAGTTTGGACAGAGGATAAAGTTTTTAATCATCCATTACATGCTAAAAAAAAAAAAAAAAGCTGCTTGGAAAGGTCCTCTTTTCACTATTACCTAAATTTGATTATGATGTGATTAAAGCAGCGGTTCCCAAGATCTTTAAGGATGCCGTTTTGAATAAATCCACTGGCAGGAAAAAAAAAAAGAAGAAAAAAGGTTTGTTTTTTACTTCCCAAAACATCGGGGCCGGAAAATTTCTTAACCGTCTCTCCATATCATGGAACTGGTTTCCAGTTAAACTGTGGCCCTCTCTGTTTCCTCCCATTACTGTAAGCCCGTTTCCTGCTTGTTGTACATGGTTGTTCAAATGTGTTAGTCGTGTTAAGGTGACACGCGCGTGTTAGAAAAAATAAAAGCAACCGACTGCTCCAACACCACACCCAGTTAGGTCACTACGGCTGAAGGCACTGCTTAAACAGGAGTCTACTCGGCCCACCCTCCCTCTGGTTCGTCTCTTTCACGTACACCTCCAACTGTTGGTCCTCCCCACCCCCCCTCGTTTGCGGCCTCTATAGGAGGACGCAGCGCTTTTTGGGTTTGTTATCCGGAGGTTCCAGAGCAGCGAGGATGGCCTCGTCAAACACGTTCTTCAGTCCTCTCTGAAAGCAAAACACAGCGAGACAACAGCGACAATGAGCTCTGTTTGAGAAACCCCAGTAAAAGGCAACACACAAAAGGGTCTTTCAGGAGAAATGGAGAGGAAATGGAAATGGGATAAAAATTTGGGGGGGTTTGATTTCCCGCTCGCATGACACCATTTAAATATCATAAAGGATAGGTGACATCTTGTTTTTATAGTGCTCAAAAACAAAGAAATTCTGAATATTTTCTGATTTGTAGAAGCTAAAGGAAAAAGCAGTCGTCATCAGGGTTACAAAATAGCTGCATTTAAATGCATTCCTCCTGTTTAAAACAAAGGAACAGCCCATCGGTTGGTTCTGCTAAACTGTCTCAGCCAAAAGCAAAGCCAAAGAGCACGTCGAACTGAGTTCTGCTCCTCCAGTTCAACAGACTCACACACAGAATCGCTTGTTTTATCTTTTTAAAGTTTTTTTTTGTGGTGAATTATCAGCCAAAACCTTAAAAACTCAAAAACAGAGTAAGCTGATATAAATAGTTAACTTATTCTATTTGATGTCCTTAAAATAGATTAATCAGATCTCAAAGTGCCTTTTGAAGCTTTAAGAATATCTCTTAGGTTTTTGGGAACTTTAACACAACATCTTTCCTTTCACACTGTGTGAAATACTAGCGCTACCACTTGAGGATGTAGCTCTTTGTGCTCCACCGTGTTCTCCAGCTGTAGACACCAGAGGCAGCGTCTGATGACTGAGCACCTCCTCACGTGCGTGCGTACCTGTGTGAGAGCTGAGCACTCCACGTATTTGACAGCTTTGAGCTCTCGGGCCAGCTTCTCTCCGCTCTCGCAGCTCAGGGCTCGCTGTTTGTTCTTGGCCAGCTTCTCCAGTGTGTTGCTGTCGTCTCTCAGATCCACCTGAGTCCCGACCAGCAGGAAGGGCGTCCGTGGACAGTGGTGGGAGATCTCTGGCACCCACTGTGAAAAGGCAAGCTCCGGGTCAGGGCCCACGGGTCTGTATGTCACCAACAAGCCCACCCCCTCCTCTAGTATGGGCTGAAAACATTTTTAGACTTTAATAGAAGGTGTTTTGAACTCACAAAGCTGCTTTTAAATGTTTTTAATCACCCCTAAACTTCTCTAAATTGGAAAACAATGACAGGAACCCTTGTGCAAACCTTCTCTCTGACGTTTTCAAAGGAGGAAGGCGACACCACGGAGAAGCAGACGAGGAAGACGTCGGTCTGCGGGTAGCTGAGGGGTCGCAGTCTGTCGTAGTCCTCCTGACCTGAAGGGACACAAACACACACACAGTCACAGAGTTAACTTCATCCGCAGCAGCAGTAACAAGACCATGGAAATCTTTCTGTGCCTGTTTAACCATCAAACCCTGAAGGGGTCGGATCAGATTGTCCCATCATTGCTCCTTTTACTGCAGAGTGAAAAGTCCAATCGGGGTTTTGTTTGTACCTGCGGTGTCAAACAGCCCCAGAGTGTATGGCTCCCCCCCGATCATCACCGTCACGGCATAGTTGTCAAACACCTGAGGGGGAGGCAAGAGCAGGAGATGAGCAACACTGGTTGGAAAAGATATGGTCTCATTACAGTCATTGTTCGAACCCAAACAGAGGAGGCTGCTCTGAGTCCTTCTGAACCGGGATTATAAGGATGATAACGCACATTCACACAAACCGACACCACCTGCTCTCACCCCGAGCATGTTGCTCTACAGGACCGGCTACATCTATGAAAATAACTGAATGGGCCGTATCAGTAAATTTATATCCTCTATAACAGGTCAGGCAGGAACCCGAGACCAAGAGCAGGCCTCAGAAACAAAGACCACACAAAGGAGCCGGAATCCACAGTGAGACCGACACGGGTGGGAAAAAACAAAAGAAAAAGTAACTAAACAATTTAACCACCTAGCTAGTTGAAGGTGAACCGAAACAACCCAGCAATAAACACATCTTAGTATCTCTCTTTTTAATATAAAAATCAAATAAAGCTCAAACAAAAATAAAAAATTTAATTTCATTCAACCAATGAGCTAAGCCTATAAAAAGGCTGATAGCACCGAATGACTGTGGGCTCCAATGAAATGAGGGTAAATATCAAAGTGAAAGGTCAAAGCTCCAAATGTTGCTGCTTTTTTTGTGTCAGTAATAAAACTGCCTGCGTTAGCCCTGGATGTGTGCGGCCCTGCTGTCGCTTTGCACTGAACGAAACGCTTGAAGTCAAGCAGTTATTTAAGAAATGAGAAAAAGACAGATTCAAAACATTTAAAAATTACCTCTTTTTAAAATGAAGAACCCTCTAATTTGATTTATTTCACTTTTTTATAGGTTCTTTTCATTCTCCTGCCTGTAGAGGGAGCCGCAGCCCTCTGAGCGTTCCTAAATCCACCATTCTGCCACACAAGCAGCACATAGTGTCTCTCAACATTTTTCAATGATCAATAAAGAATCTATTTAAATTCATGTGAGTCTTTAAGTGTAGCCCATATTCATCTCAGTTTTCCAGAAACTTTTCCAGCACCATTTTACTTTAAATTGACTTTAAATGTACAAAAAGTATCCAAAGATCAGAGCCACGACGAGTGTTTCCTCCAATCTCTTGTAACTAGTAGTTGTGGCGGCAGGTGGAGCTCAGAGTGCAAAAGTAGCCGTCTGATGTGGATTGTGAGCAGGAAAAACTCCAGTTTTCAACAGAATCTCATTACTGTTCACGAGAGCAGCAGATGTACGAGACGCGCTAAATAAATCAGACGTGTGCAAGTTCCTGTAATGACTTGTGCAGCTGTGGTTTGACTTGTTTTGTTGACAGCAACGTCTGCCTGGCAACAGACGTAAACAAGTAAACAACACGGCTGCCAAGGTGTACATCCGGATCACGGCATGTTGCGCTAGGTCAAAATATGTGACCCTTTTCCTACAGAAGCCCGCCTTCATCCTGCCAAACCAGGAGGAACAGGGCCGTATGAACGGGTGTAAACTATTTAAACAAAGTGTTTTCAGTGTCGGAGGCTGTGAGACGACTCATTGCTCAGCTTCGTCATTCCCCCCGTTTCATCACTCATCCCTACAGGCTGGTGCCACGTGCAGAAACATGCAGCATGGTCCCAACATGCCGGCTTAACCTCTGCTCTGCCGACATGGCGGGGAGCAACAGGGTCCGACTATCTAAGGAGCACGGTTCCAACATGCAGGCCTTATGCTGTAGCCCGCGGACACTTGTTTGGTTTTAATGAGGCTCTGCGCGCACAGACGAGCTGGACTATGTGGCCTTCAGGAGAGGAAACCATAGAAAGCATTGCCGTGCATGATTTCAAGCTACAACTACTCCTGTCTGACCTTTATCTAACCAGGCAGGTCCCACCAAGTGATCCACTCGCCTCAGACTCTGTACTGACAGAAGACTGAAGATACACACGGAACAACTAAAATCTAAACTAAAACAAGGCAAAATTCCACTCATAAAAACAAAAACCTTTTTTTTGCTTTCCTGTCATCTTGGTCTCCCAAACAAAGCTTTTATCCTGCAGTAGTTGAAGGCATTTACACTTCTTAAACTCCACTTTCTCTACCCTGAAGGACTCCATTAAGGTTTGCCTTCGCACAGCAACAAACCTGCATCCTGTTTAACATCCATGTGATGTGCATCACTCCGAGTGAGACTTGGATTTGGATGCCTGTCACTGTCTGATGAATGAATGAACAGAAGTCTTTTCAGATAACAATTTCCACCATTTTTGTTTACCTTACAGAGCTGCTCTGTTAAGCCGATATTAAACTATTTAGTATTTTCCAGAGATGACAGATACACATTTAACATGGCTCCAGCTGCAACACAGTTGCGTAAAGATCACACGACAAGCCGAGCTACTCGGTTCAACTTCAACCAAACGCTATGATCCGTGAAAACCTGACAGGAGGGGAGGGGCATGGAGAATCCCACAGAAACCGATCGCAGATGCAGGTAGCTGATGAAAATGTGTTTGGACAGAGCTGGGATAACAGAAGCTGCTGGAAACAATTGGATCACAACTGACGCCGTGGTGAACAGCTGTGGAGGAAAGTGCCCTGCCGCTTCCTTTGTTAAAGTTACAATAATTCTACCTGTCATCTGAATTCCACAGGCTTACCGTGACGAGCAAGAGCTGGACGTCGACTGATAAAGGACGTTTGAAAAGACTGAAAAAGTTTGAAAGGGGACTCGTCTCTGAGGATTTACCTCCTCGAACAGACTTCCTCTCGGCTACATTCTTACAGCTTTGGCTATCAGCTGAGGAACGGGAGACAATAAAGCAAAAAGACAAGGGGGCAAAGCCAAAACCGAAGGTTTGCAGGCATTTATTGTAATTTATCTGTGCAGCTGATTCCTCAGACAAGGGACGCAAGCACAGTTTACAGTCACTGTGCCGCAAACTTCAACTTCCCACCATAAAGAAAACATTTAAAATGTAAAAAGGTGCAATGCTGAGAGTGGTTTGCTTCCTCTGATGGCTTAGCTCGATGGCTGCCCTATGATTGGCTGTTGAAGCTTTTTTTTTCATATTCTGAGATAAGTATTCTGTGTTTCTTGCTGTTTTTAACAACAGGAAAAAGACGGTAAGAAAAAAACATTGCGTGTGAGATTAGAATGAAATCTGTTGGTTATGCAAAAAGCTAAAAAGTGGACATGAGGGAGGAGTTTCTTTCTCATGAGATTCAAATTAAGTCAATATTTAACAAATATGCTCGGTAAACAGGCTATATTAACTAAAAAACAAGTGGTGACGTCGATACTGTGGACGAGGGCTCAGAAGCTGCATATTTCTGCTAATCCAGACTGAAACAAAAAGGTTAATCACTTTAGGCTGCAGCCACATACTTCTTTCCCTTTAGTTTTTGTGCCATTTCTCAGTTTTAAACAGAATTCTTTTTTCAAATAAAAACAGACATGATATTGTCTTATAATACTGTTCAAAACAGAGTAGAGAGATGACACAGATAGAAGTTTGGCAGGAGGAGAACGATAGAGCTGAGTCAGCATTTCTGCGATCCTCTGATAAAAACTGGGCTGAGAGAGGTGGGACTTCAGCATTTGTTCATCAGTTCGCAGCAAAACGCTCAGTGAAGTGGGACAGCCAGCTGCTCTCTGGCTGACCACAAACCTGCCTCAGTGAGAGTTAAGTCAGATTGTGGAATTAACCCAAATAACAAGCACCGCACAGCAGTGGGTGGTTAGAGCAGCATTTCCAATATAAGGCCCTTAGAAACAAACCATTTCCCCCCCAAAAAATACAGTTCTCCCACGACGCAGGGCAGTTTTTACACCAACAAGAATTCCTTTATAAATAAATATGATTAATTGATGTTTGTATTGTTGGAATAAGCAAATAGCAAATAAAGGATCAGTCCAAAACAGCATGAAGAAGGTCAGAGCCTTGCTCTAACACAAATACTCAGCTTCAGACACTTCTCGTTTCATCCGAAGTTCCTTCCAAACAGCCAGGTTTTCTTTCTACATTCTTGATGGTTTTGAGCTTCAGGCTTTGTGAAGGTCTTTATGACTGACTTATGAATCACTCAAGCTTACCAAAGGCAACTAACTCAAGGAATTAAGAAGCGATTAACAAAGAATTATTTCTGTTCTATCATTGGGCCCTTTGTTACAAAATCATGTCCTCTGTCAAAAAGGTAAGGAAAAAAATATCTAGCAAAGACCTGATATAGATGCTGAGAGATGTATCCTGTGCACACGCCTCACAAACGGTCTGGGGAGCGTGGCCCTTTTAGCATCACTGCATTTCTATGTAAGTTTGCGTATCGACACAACTGTAAACATCTTACCATGCAGGCTGCACACCTACAGAGCTGAATGAGTGATACTCTTTGACTAATATGAACCACTTCACTGACTTAGGGGCTAAAAGAAGAAGACAGAACTGAAAAGCTCTGGCGGCATCGCTCACTGAACTGTGAAATGACGTCCATGCTGATGGTGTCGGTCTCATTCAGCGCACTGCAGAGGCTCAGCTACATTTGTTTGGTGTCTGCTGAATCCAGACTCTGAATAGGTTTCACTTCCTGTCTAACAGGAAGGAGCTTCATGCCGAGCACTGAGGGGGTAAATGTGATATGTTGCCTCTGCCTATTACTTTCATGTCGACTGTAGAAGAGTGTCTGTTGGTTTGTTTGTGTTGATGAAGGCTACTCACCGTAGGGACGTATTCAGACGGAAACTTGTTGGTAGTGTAAGAGATGAGCAGGCAGGTCTTTCCCACCGCACCATCACCCACAACCACACACTTTATGGTCTGCATCTGAGGGATGAAACGCAGCAGCAGTAGTTAAGGAGGGGGCTCTCTTTTTTGGAGGTCTACTTGTGACATTTGTGAAACCAACACTCCCTTTCAGATATGCTTTACTTTGTAGTAGCCTAGTAAAATAACTGACTCTGGAACCTTTGAAACTGCCATCCAACTCCCACCATTTGACGACGACAAATGGACAACTTAATTTTATCCACTAAATTTGACTGTATTTTCATTTAAAAATGACTTTATTTCCTTTGTTTTAAAATTACCAACAGTTCTATAAGGTCAATCTTGTAGAAGAGGAACATTTTCATCTGCTTTCAACCACTACTGCCATGTTTTAATACTGGAAATCTGATGTGAGAAAGGAACAACTATGAATACTTTCTTCATAACCCTCAGCTGACTTATCATCTACTCTTGTGCAAATGGGGAAAAAATTTGATGAGTATATTAGTTAACCTTTCCCACAACTGAGGACAATCTGTCAAACTACAGTAAAGAAAATAAATCCAGGGCCTAAAGTTGTCGCCCTGCTTGTTTCAGAGACATGTAAACACCCCGAAGAGGTAAAGCCTGTGCGCATCAGGTGGCAGGCCGGCTGGAACGCCATGACCCTCTGCGACCGAGGGACAATTGGAAGCAAACAGTGGTAGCGCTGTAAAGCGGTGTTTACTACCCACAGAACCTGTGACCGCCCAGACGCTAAGCAGCTCGCATACCCAGGCTGCTGCCTCATTAAGAGGGACAAAAGCAAAGGGCTATGGGCTGCCACTTCATCACTGGCTCTTTGTTTGGGCCGTTTGGCTGTGGCAGCATTCTGCTGGACTCTGATGAGTCAGGGACAAGGTAGCTGGTCATGGTGTGCGGGGACGATGACACTGATTACATGAGGAGACTCCATTTCTCATTGGTAATTCCAAAACGCATGGAAACAATTCTGGGAGATTAGTAGAGGCCGTGTTTTTTTGCCCAGTGTGGCGCTGTTTGCTTGTACACATTGTTATCTGCAATATGCAGTTGGGCCTGTTTAGCAATCTGAAGCCCCGAAGAGATGGCATTAAGTGATACCTGGCAACTTTGGTTTTCTTTTTAATCAGAAAAGACACAAAGTATGTTCCAACCCTAATAATATATTCTAAATTTATGAAACTGTGAACCTGAACTTTTTATGAGTATCATTTTTAAACTCGGTTATATGGGCCAAAGTTCAACAGCTGAACTTTCAATAAAAGAAAAATTGAGGTTGCTCCAAGCTTTTAACACAAAAGATTGGAAATATCGTTGAGGTTTGTTGTTTTTATCTTCATCTTTGTGGAGAAGCTGAAAATTCCACCGTAATGAGAATATGTTGAGTCATCCCTAAAAGATAATACTTACTGAAGTGTTTCCAGTTTTGAAAATATTTGCTGAATTTAATATCTGCCTGAATATTACACGCACAGAGTATTTATGTGTTCAAATGAAGCATAATCATCCATCCATTTTCTTTCTTCATCCATCCCAAATCAAGTATTTTCCAGTATAATGGGTAGTCATTTGTAATATGTACTTTAAAAACAAAAACTAACCAAAATATCCCGACCAAATGTATGTTTAAATATTATTAGGCTTTTGTTACATACTATGTATTGTTGATGTCCGATAACATACATATTGTCAGTGTATTTGAGCAAATTCACTTATTGAGCAACCATGTCAGACTTTATGCTTTTCTTGGGCGTATCGTGCATAAATTCTATTTTTAGGTTTTGAACACTCTGTTGAAGAAAGGTGTTGAACTTGCTTCAATGTGCTCCAGGAAATTACAATATTCACTTTCATTTACGTTTTGCCTGACATCCAGAAAATATGAGGTAAAGGTATCGTGTAGGCGAGAAGATGATTTTCTGCATTTTTCCTGTACGATCAACAAAGGTTAAATATAATTTAATTCAACCTGATAAAAAAATAAAAATAATCAGAATCCAAAAAGTGGGATGATGAACTTGTTCTGGAGTGAAGAATCATCTTCATCCTCATTTGTAGCACAAAACTGTGAGATGAGTCCACTTGCGTAATCACAAATCTCACCCATTGAAAGTACAAAACGAGTTTAAGCCACAAATGATTTAACGTCTAAATCAATCCCGATGGAGCCCCCGACTTTCAACCACTTCCGCATAGAGAACACACATATCAGATTATCCATTGACAACCTTTTAAAATATAACGTTAGTAATGACTAAACGTTAACAGGCAACATGCCCAACAATAGTTTATACAGAGTTTCATGTTACGTTTTCAATTGTAAATGTTGTTAACAGTTTAGGAGGCTTGCTAGCTTCAGCTAAGTGGGAAGCTAACGCCAAGTTACATCCGCCAGATCCCCACCCACAACAAAAACGACCGATTTAAATGAACTTCCGAAGATCTATAATAAAACAAAGCACGTACAAGTCTAGGGGTAAAAAAAACAAACTGTAACAGCTCCTCTGCTTGAGAAAAAGAAAATTAACCGGTATCTTTGGTTGAGATTTGAGAGCACTGCTAGCAGAAAGTTAGCTAAAGGAAATCGTTTGTTTTGACAGCTGCCGAAAGGCAGATATAACAGTCAGCGGGCTAACAATCACATAGCTCACAGTGGAAAGACTTATTTTAAAGCATTCTGAGTTTACTCTGTTTATAGTTCACTGTTTTTAGTTGGTAAATCACAGTTTATGATGCTGACTGCTCCTACCTTGTCGACCTAAAGCCGCTGGAGTGTTGGCAATGATCTGATACGTTCAAATGCCTCCCGTAAACTGGCCCATCCGCTCGTACGGAAGTAGGAAATACTGTGTGACGTTCAAGTTCGGTTGGGATAGTTATCTAGCGTTTGTCGAAATAGTGACATGGAGTTGTACTTACATGTGTACATTTATTTTAGAGGTAAAAAAGTCTAGCAGTTTTATTCAGTATTTGTATGCTATTAATAATGTTCTAATCTTCTATTTTTTTCCCCCACAACAATCTTCGAGTTTCTTCTTTTTATTTGATACATTCAATTTAGGTTGGACAAATATATACAGAAAAAATTATTATGTCTTCAGTGTAACTACAATTTGACGATTCAGACAAAAAATCCCAAACAAAAACATTGACTAAACCAAATGTAATAAATGGACAACAGTAAGCAAAAGGGCAAACTTTGTGCCTGTATATACTACCACAGTATAATATATATGTGTATAAGATGTGCATGTATGTTAAATGTTTACTTATAAGAAAACATTCCACACAATCCAATCGACCATAATCATCATGACTCTGTAGAGATGAAAGAACTCTCCACTCAAAAGTGAACAGATTCCTCAGTAGCCACCAGAGGGAGATGAGTTGTAGACCATTGCTGCTTTGCTCACAGTGGAGTGCCATTTTAGATGTTTTGACATTTCCAGAGAATCGTGATATTCTCCTACCACGACATCACTAAAGTCTTTTGATCCTCATCTATTTAAAACATTATCGTTTATTTTTGAATCAGATCCATGATTGCTTCCATATTTCTCCTTTTGGTTATTTACAAGAAAGAGAAAACATTTTATGCCCGAATAATCCAGTATATCATTATCACCCCCCCCCCCCAGGTATTTAGTGTATATAGGAATCAGTTGTTGATGTGGTTTTACAGTGGAAGTTTGATTTTCTTCCATTACTTCTATCATCCATCATCTATCATTTTCGTGACAAAAAACAAAAAATCAGATTCATTTTGGAAAAATAAAAAAATAAAATCTTGAAAAGAAGTAACTAGCTAATGCAACTTGTCAAATAGTCTGATCGATTTGTCATCTCCTTGTGTTAATCTACGTAAGAATTATGTCCAAAACAAAAATGGCGAAGCAAGCAAAACAGCCAGTGCCTTTTCTAAAGTCTTTGATTGGGTTTGATGTGTTTGTTTTGAATGGCCTCTTCAGTAGATTGGGTTTCAGGTGGACAGGAGCTTGCTAAGGGGAAGACCAGTTGACCTTCAGAACAACGCCGCAAAAAATGAAATAATTACAATGCAAAGCACCTCTCCTTAACCCCCCACCAGATAGCTCCTATGTTGCTCTCCTCCAGCATTTCATTGCACTTTGATCTCCTTATTGATCCTTCCTTCTTCTTTTTTCTTTGTTGCATCCTGCTTTCTCCTCTCCTCCATCCCTTCTCATGTGTGTGTGACTCGGTATCAGTTGCTCAGCTGTGACTTACCATTGGGATGGATGTCAAGGACGTTGGGCTGCTTGTCTCGTAAAGATAATCCCATTAAAACTCAGGAATTTAATTATAGATTATCTCACACACTCACACAATGACACTAATGCATGCCCACACATAAGCACATCTAGAGACGCGCACACAGGTGGATTTATACACCTGCCTGTGCACACAAGCACAAATGCACGGCCATAGAAATAGGGAGGTATACAAACCCATGCAGGCACTGACACTATCGTACACACTCAAACAACAACACAGTGGCTCCATCCCCTCTCCTTGTCACTGTGTATCAGTGTCACCCTCCAGTCTGCATTTAAAACTTCAGTAGTCTGTTTTTAGAGCAGCAAGGACAATCTCTGCACGAGTCTGCAGTGAACCACAGATGTGAAATTGAAATGATGCCCATTGCACAGAAGTATTCCGACTCATGAATACACAGGAATTGAAGAGAACAGCTTCACTACAGCTGATGTGCTCCCATACAGCCTTATAGCTTTTCAGGTATTACTTGAGGTATCTAAGAGTAACCCGTTTGTCACCCAAAATCCCAGGTACAGCAGTAAATCGGTTACCATGGCAACTGCACTTTTGGATCATAATACATTAAAACTGAGCTTGTAATTTGGCTTCATGACGGATAAGAGGAACAAAACAAACACTGATGAAATACCTCAGTGCGTGTTTGACTGTGAGCCAGTGGGTGAACACAGGCGACAGCTGAGGAAAAATCAGAGGGCTCATCTTTCATCATTTATTGTTTTTACTTGATTTTATTGTGAGTTACTTTTAGATGCAGATTTAATCTGTGTTTTCGTTGCATTTATTCATTTATTTCTTCATTCATTTATTAGAATTGGCTCAAACTCCAAAAGCCTTTATCAGCTGTGCTGAACTGCATGAAAGCAATTTATGCGACAGACCAAGTTCTGTTAGGTTCGATCAGTATTCTCAGATTATAACATCGGGGATGTGTGAAGTCCTTCAAAGCTGTATTATACCGTTTCATGGACTAGATGTATGTCATGGTCAATGTTGCAACATCATGTGGCATCATGGTCCATTTTTATCTTTCTCAAGGGTAAAAGAGGCATCAGCTGCACTTCCTTTCATCGGATGCGGTGCATATTGTTCACTTTTGGAGGAGTTTAAATGCTGTGTTATTTTCCATACCACTGTTGTTCATACAACCCCTCACCCTAATTATACACTACACCCTGACCCAGTTGAATCTTTGACCCAACCTTCAATCAGGTAATCCTTAAATTTATCCTCGGATTTTGAATTTTGCCTACGAAATCAAATTGAATCTACAAAATAGGTTTGAGAGATTTATGTGGCAATAATGCAAATACACAAAGTATAATAATGTCTGAGTGTAGAGGGAAGGATGGATTATGTAACAGATATACATCAGCTGAACCCCATTGCAGCACCAGAGAATAGCATGGAGACACAGAGAGACAGAGCCTGTCCTCCCTTTATCTATTCTTACCTCCACAGTTGTGCGTCGAGCTTCTGCACCCCATCCTTATCCCTTCATCCAAACCCTCAGTCCATCTTCCCCTTTTTAATTAACCCTCTTCTTCCTCTCTCGATCTCCCCTCTGAGTCATCTCCCCTCCCCCCTCTGTCACACATCCCCCCCTCCTCCTTCCCTCCTGTTTTCCTCTCCCTCTCTCATCACTCTGCCTCTCCAGTATTTTCTCGGTCGCCGTGAAAGGCAGAACTCACACACACACACAGGCGGCAGGTAAAGGCAGGAAATCCTCTCTTCCTCTTTTCTTGTGCTCCAGAGGGTTATGGTGTTCTTTCTCTTTCCATGCTGTTTGTGTTTGCTGCTCAGAGGCTGGTTAATGTAGACAGAATGCAAAGGGATGCAGGTTGTGTGTAGAGCTTAGGGATGCTCTAGGTGTTACTGTGTTTGCTTCATGCATGTTAAGAAAATGGCTGTCAGGTAAATTTTTGTGTGTGACTTCAGACAAGTAGGCATACATGTGTCTCTTTCGACATACACAACGTGACTATGTGTCAGTTTTGGGTATCACTTTGTTTGTGTATGTGTGTGTGTGTGTGTGGGGGGGGGGGGGGGGGGGCATGAATGTGTTTGGGTGTAATGGCTGTAAAAATATGTGTGTATAAAGAAGGAAATGCTTTTGGTGTATGCATTTGCATTATGTATGAGTAGATGAATGCTTTTTGCAGTGTATGTGGGTTGGATTGACCTATTTGATGTTGCTCAGGAACAATTGTATGTGATAAAGATGTAGGTCTGAATGTCTGTCTTGTCCACTCGTGGAAAACTGGTCTGTTTATGTGTGGTGTGGCAATAGAAATGCACATTGCGTGCAAGGGTACGTTATTCAGTTGGTAAATCATGCATGTGTGTGTGTTAGATGATTATGACATGGCAGAAAGGGATATGTCAGTGTGTGTTTGTGTGAATTTGCTGTATGGATTTCCTCACATATCTCATAAAATGGCTGTCAAGCCTATGTGTTTTCTCATGTGAATTTTGGCTGCTGTAACATTTTGTGTGTATGTGTGTGTGTACATGTGTGATTTTGCAGTCACTTGTGGTTGTATCGAGTGTTAGTGAATTTGGGAAAAAGAAAAGGGAGATTTGTGAATATGCATTCCTTAAAAATGCCATGCAGTATATACACTAGTTCCCTTTATGGTCAATAAACGTCTCTAACACATTTCTGATTGCTGTTCTGACACCATGTAGACAGCATCCTGGAGGATGGTACTCTAACACTGTAGGAAGAACCCTGTTTCTGTCAATCTCCCAATCAATACATCCAAATGGCGGTCCCATAAATTCCACAGTACTCTCATTTTAAGTATTTTGAAGTGCTCTATGTACCCAGCAAGAAACATCCTTCTTTTACATGACATGAAACAGAAATGCCATATCACAATTAAATTTCTACATTTATTGCTGCCGTTTGCGGTACAAAATAGTGTAGTATTGTAAAATTAACATGGGCACATTTGTCCACAGACTTGAGATCCATGGCTGCATCTGTGAGATGGCAAAGCATCCTTGACCCAGTTTTTCCTTTTCCATAGGGCAGCGCTCACTTGACACAATCTCATTCCCAATTCCTCACATCGGCTGAAAGCTTTTCAAGTCAGCTTTAAATGAAAGGAGTGCCTTTTTAATGTTACTTTCAAATCCACTGGGAATTACGCTACTGTTGCGTATTGCTAATTATCCCTCTGCAGTGGTAACACGGCGGTGATCTGCCAAAGGAATATGCAAGTCTTTGCTACTTTTAATTTCTCCCTTTGGTCTTTATGTTGCTACAATAACACATATTTTTTACACAGATTGCTTAAATGATAGGGGGAAACAATCATAGTTAAAAACATAAAAGTTCTTTATGTTTTGGTAAGTCCTGCAGACATTTTTTTATGTGGCATTCAAATGTTAACTAACACCTGCACGTCCGTCAGATATTTTATGGGTCAAAACCCTGACAAAGCATTAATGAGTTTAAAATTGTACAAGAATTAGTACCTGATGTCTAAGCTGTTGAGGTAACAGTGTTGATCAGTTCCAGCCCCACCCATGTACTCACAACTCCAAGACTGAACAATTTGTGGGCAAGAGTAAAACTATGAGAGGGAGAGAACATGAAAAGTTTAAAGATTGTGGAAAGCTTGACAGCCAAGTTTTAAAAGTGGCTTCACCCAGAATCTTATTTTCTCCAAGTGTTAGTGGTCAAAAGAGGTCTAATGAGTCAGTGACAGTGGTAATCATCACAGATGACCACCCATGGATGCTGGAATGCTGACAAGTAGAAATTTAAAAGCTGCTTCTTTGCAGGGAACTGAGAAATAATGAAGTTGTTCTCACACAATTTTTTAGCCTTCATTTTAAAACAGCAACATTTTGTATTGTGGATCAATTTCAACCATGAGTTTTGGTCATTTATCGACATGATGTTGTTGCAGCATAAAAGCATATCCCTTTGCCGTTTCTTTTTAAATTTGGTCACATTACAATGTAACTTAGCAGAAACCAGAAACTAAACTTCACACAGAAAACAACAAAAAATCAATGAAAAAAAATCCAATGTAACAACAATATAGAGGGAGCATGTGACAGACATCAATGTCACAAGTTAACATATTTTGTTTTGGTTACATGCGAGGATATGTCAAAGTCAGCTTATGTTTTTGTATTGTCTCTTAATTTGATCATGCACAAACATGCATTTAATTACCATTGTGTGTTACTTCATGAAATTGGATGAATGATGTCTACTTATGTGACATGTGTGAGAAAATATCTTCACACTTGGCTTGGCAACAGGAATATCATTTGTGTGTTTCTGAACTCAATCACGTGTATCCCTTAAATGTTTGAGTGTGTGGCTCTTAGCGGTGTGTAGGTGGATGTGAGTGTGTGTACACATGTAGTGCTGGTGATAGTTATGAGATGAGCTGAGCTGAAGTGTGTTAACGTGCACATCTCCTTGGCACAACATATGTGTGAGACTGCTCCACTTCCAGCATGTGTGCTATGCGTGCCATGATCAGCCTTCTGTTTGCTGTCTTCTTCCTGTTCCTCATCCCTTCATTGACTCCTTTATTTCCTTACTCTTTCCTCATCCAAACTCTGTCATTTAATAATTTATATCCATCCCCTTTTCTCCTCTTTTTATCTCTCCATTGTCTACTCGCTCTGCCATGTTTCATCTCCCTCTCCATTTCGTCCTTCACCACTCCCTCTCTCTTCCTCCTTCTGGTCATTTTGTATGTCGCTTTTCTTCTCTTGGCTTATATCTAAAGCCATGTTTCATCCTTCGGTCATCTTTTTGCCTTTCATCTCACCTCATTCTTTTTCATCTTATCTCTCATTTCTTCCCCTTGCAATTCCAAACATAAATCTTCCTTTATGCTGTTACATTTTATATGTCCATTCAAATACTGTACTTTACACATCTATCTATCTATCTATCTATCTATCTATCTATCTATCTATCTATC